ATTTCACCCCAGCAAAGCTTTGGTGGTGTGGAGAGTAGGACCCCGGCTAGACCCCAGTCGTGCTGCACCAGTGCTGCCTCCTCCCTTGCCCTAGTGGGGCGATTTTTCCTGCTTTCTCTGTGAACCAGTGCTTTTCGGGGTGAGCCTAGGGCTTCTCATAAATCTCAACACCCTCCCGGGCACCCCCCCCCACCCTGCCCAAGTACTGTCAGCTCGCTGCACCCCCATCACATGTTGCTGGCACAGGAGTTGGGGGTACTGGGAGTTGAACGAACCCAGAGCCTTTGCGCTGAGCTGATCTCCAGCCCTTTCTTACGTTTTAGTCTGAGATAAGGTTTCCCTAAACTGCCCAGGCTGGGCTCACATTTGCGGTCTTCCTGCCTCAGCCTTCTGGGTCACAGACATTCCTGGCTACACCGTGGGTTTTGCGGGAAACGAAAACTCCAACCTGGTCAGCATCGACCTGCACTCCCTCTTCTGACCACTGGGTGTCAGGCGCGCGCCACGCAGCTGCCGGGCGCAGGCGAGAGGCAAGGAGGGCCGGGGGTTTGGAGCCGGCGTTGAGGAGCCGGCGGGGGACAAGAGGAGCAGACACGCAGCCCTGGGCTCGGCGCGCTTCCCGGGATGCTTCAGAGGAGCCGCGGACGACTTAAGGCGGCGCACACTGTGGTCCATGCACGCCGGGAGGCTGAGGCAGGAGGATAGCAAGTCTGAGCCCAGCCTGGGCAATTTAGCAATTTAGCGAGACCTTGTCTCAAAATAAAAAAATAAAAAGTGGCTGGGGATATAGTTCAGCACGAAGGCTCTGAGTTCAATCCCCAGTACAATAAAAACAAAACGAAACAAAACACAAAACACAAGGCAGGGGAACCTGGCTGTGAACTCATCAACAATCACAATGTTGATAGAGTTTATTTTGTTTTACTTTTATTTGTTTATCAATTTTTGAGGTGGGATCTTGCTGTGCTGCCCAGGATGGTCTTGAACTTCTGGGCTCAAGTGATAGTCCTGCCTCAGCCTCCTGAGTAGCTACTAAGTAGTAAGAACTTATTATTTTTTATTAGGAAGGAAAATCGATGAGTTAAGTAGGTTCACTTTAACACTTCTGAGGACGCCAGGGTCTCTTACACCCACAGATGAGTCTGTCTGCCAGTTTTAAGTGTTTTTTTTTTTTTTTTCTTTCTTTTTTCAGGTTTTTTGAGACAGGATCTTGCTATTTGTTCAGGCTGGCCTCAGACTCACGGTGATTCTCCTGCCTCAGCCTCCCAAGCACTGCAATTATAGGTGTGTGACACCTTGTCCAGCTGTCCCAGAAATTTTGGAAATTGCTGCTGGTGTGTACTCCTGGCTGGGTGTGGCAGCCCTGAGGTTCCGGTGACCACCCTGCAGGGAGGGCTCGGCCCTCGGCACCTCCTGGCTCCTTCTCATCAGCCCTTGGCTCTGTGTCACTGTGGAGAGGCCACCGCCGGCAGCCCGCGTGACAGCTCGCCAGCCTGCCCCACTGCTGTGCTTCGCTTTCTTAAAATATTTGGCGTTCTCCGAAGTCATCATCTCCTCTTATTGCGGCAGGGATGAAATCCAGGGCCGAGCCACACCCCCAGCCCCTTTTATATTTTGAGATGGTCCTGCAGAGTTGCTAGGTGCCCAGGCTAGGCTTGACTTTGAGATCCTCTTGCCTCAGCCTCCCGAGTGGGAGGGTCACAGGCGTGTGCCACCATGGCTGGTGGAGGCTACTGCTGTTTTGCTTGTATATTTGTTTCCTCTTGAGTGAGCTGAGCGCAACCACTGCTTAGAGCTGGTGTGGTGGCGCACACCTGTGATCCCAGCACTTGGGAGGCTGAGGCAGGAGGATCCTTGGGAGTTTGAAGCCAGCCTGAACTGCATAGTAAGACCCTGTCTCAAAAAGAGAAAAAAAAAAAGTGCTTAGAAATGTGACTGGAACGTTGTCTACTTGTTGATGTATCCCTGAGGGCCACTTCCAGATGCCACCAGGTAGTCTCAAGGTGGTGGCCAGCGTCATATCAACTGCTCTGTGAAGACTCTGAGCACCTGAACTCTTGCATTCTGTTCTGTCATCCTTAGCATAGTGGCCCTTTCATGGTCACAAGATAGCTGCATGGCTCTGGGCATCACATCCGATTTTAGAGAGGAATGATGTTGCTAAGCTTTCTTGATCTCTGCCTGTATGTTTTTCTAAGAAAGAAAACAACAAAATAAAAACCCTGAAGCTAAAATTGGGTGACATGGCTTCTCTTGGCTTAAAGAGCAAAGTGGGACAATTTAGGCAGCTTTGGTTCCTGTCCCAGGTGAGCATGAGTTGGGAAGATTGATCACTGACAAAGATGACATTAGCTTAGCATGGTGGTGCACGCCTGTGAACCCAGCTACTGCGGAGGCTGAGGCAGGAGGATCTCAAATTCAAGATCAACCTGTGCAACTTATTGAGACCCTGCCCCCCCCAAAAAAAAATTTAAAATGGGTGTATATGTAGCTCAGTGGTAGAAAGAAAGAAGGAGAAAGAAGGAAAGAAAGAAAGAAGGAAAAAAAGAAAGAAAGAGAGAGAGAAAAAAAGAAAATGGTGACATTCATGTAAAGGACTAAAAATGTCTAAAAGATATCAGCTATAAAGAAAGAGCATTATTTCATGTATTTTACATGAATGGTGACATTCATGTAAAGGACTAAAAATGTCTAAAAGATATCAGCTATAAAGAAAGAGCATTATTTCATGTATTTATTCACTCTTGTTTTCCTTAGAATTTTTACTGTTTAAACTCACTAGAGGGGGCTGGGGATTTAGCTCAGCGGCAAAAGCGCCTGCCTGGCAAGCGCAAGGTCGTGAGTTCGGTTCCCGGTACCGGAGAAAAACCAAAAAAAATAAAAAAATAAACTCACTAGAGGTATTGATTTACAATTTTTATTTTTCCTGCCATCCTTGTTAGATTTTGGTCTCAAAGATACGGCAGCCAGCTGGACAGGGTTGCACACACCTGTGATCCCAGCCCTTGGGAGGCTGAGGCAGGAGGATTTCCACAAGTGCGGGGCCAGCCTGAGCTACCTAGAGAGATTGTGTCTCAGTAAGAAGAATAACAGATGCAGTCTCCTCAGAGAGGGAGCCGGGAGCGTGTGTTTTGGCAGTCGTGCCCGCGGGGTGATGGTAAACACGAGTCTCTGGCACCTGTGGGCGCGCTGTGACTGCCGGGCGCCCAGACGCTGCGTAGAGAGCACGTCCACAGCCTGTGGTTTGCCTGCCCTGTCTGGGCTGTGTTTTTAACAGTTTTTTAAAGTTTAGAATTATTTGTTTTTCCAGTGTGGGGGAAACGTGACGGTCTGACGTCATGGGCTGTGGTGGATCCTGTGTGTCCTTGGCCAGGGCCTCCGTGCCCTTCCAGGCGGAGCCCCGGCCCGGCGCTCTTCCAGGCCTCCCACAGGTGAGTGGGGCTGTGGACATTGGATTAAGTTCTCAAACAAATGCACAGAGTTTTTCATGATTAATCCTCTCTGTTGTGGCAATTTAGACACAGTGTGAAATTCACATTCAGAGCCATTCTTTTCTGTTTGTTTGTTTTTTGAGACAGGGTCTCCCTAGGTAGCCCATGCTGACCTTGAACTTGCAGCAATCCTCCTGCCTCAGCCTCCCACGACAGCGGGGATGGCAGGCGTGTGCCACCACACCCGGTCGGTTGGAGTTTATGTAGGACGGGGCCGAGCACAGAACTCACCTGTCAGAATGAGTCATCAGTGAGAGAGCCGGACGCCCAGGCGAAACGCAGCAGCAGCCATCCGCTCAGCCGGAACAGCCCTCCCACTGTCCCTCTGTCCCTGCTGTCCCCTCTGTCCCCGCTGCTCTCGTTGTCCTGTGTTTCGGCTGGCCTGTGTGACGCGTGTCACTGCGTCCCTGGGCTGAGTCTGACTTCCCGGTGTGAGCCTTGCCCTGGGCTGGCAGGGAGTGGGGGGAATGGGCACCCCCTCCTCCCCCCGCACGGGGCGGCAGTGCCACCTTGTTGCTGTCTCCCACCGGGGCCAGGACAAGGCCTGGTGTGGGCCTGGGCTGCGGAGGCGGGAGACTGTGTGTGCAGAGCCACACACACGCGCACACACACACGTGCACACACGCGCGCAAGCACGCACAGCGGGAACAAACGCACCTCACAGGGAGGAGGAAGGAGCTGGTGGAAAATTTTAAGGTCAAAGGAGACAATGAATCAGATGTTAGGCCACCAGCTTGACGTCCTTGGTCCTGCACCGGTCACGTCACCGGAAGGAAGCCACCCCGGGGCAGGAGCCCTGGCTTCGGTAACTTGTCCTCATCCCCAGGTGTCAGTCCCCATCCCAGCTGAGCTGCTCCTTTAGTAACTTTTTTTTTTTTAGACAGGATCTCACTATGTAGCCCAGGCTGGCCTCAAACTTGCAGCCATCCTCCTGCCTCAGCTTCCTGCATGCTGGGATAACAGGCGTGCGCCACCTTGCCTGAGGTCCTTATTAATTGAAATGACCCCTCAGAGCTGGCCGAGTGGGTTTTGCGCAACCTGGGTGCAGCCTCTGCTGAATGGCCAGGCAGCAGGGCGTCTGCTGGGGACCCGAAACACCAGCCCCAGACAGCAGAAGCCCTTGAGAGCCCTGAGGGGAGCGCTGGGCTTGGGGGACCCTTGTTCTGCCTGCTCCTGCCTTAGAGCAACTGCTCCTGGCTCCCCACCGCCGACACCGGGTGCCCAGCTCGGCCCCGGCGCCCTGCTCTGTCACCCCGAGACCTTTCCGCTTTGTTCCCTCTGCAGCGCCTGCCTCAGTTTCCCCAAGGAGATTCCCTGGGAAAACATCCAGCGTCCCGTTTGCTGCCTGGCTTGTCTGACTGTCCACGGTGAGGCAGGACCGTGGGGTCCACACCGCCGTCCCTCCTGCAGGGCCCCCTGTGGGTCCCGGATCTCCGCCCACATGGAAAGTTCCCCAAGCTCCGCGACCATTTGTACCTGTCCCCTTGGTGGCGAAGCCGTCACTCCCTTGTCGGCACAGCGAGCGGCTCTCCTGCTGAGCCCCGGGGGGTGGCGGGGAAGGACGGACCGAGGCACATGGCGATGGGACAACCAGCTGGGCAGAGCCACGTCAGGAGCACGCTTCTGCTTCAGCTCCCTTGCTCTTGACCTCAACGCCTTTGAGACTGTTTCAGCCTGTGAACTACATGGGCCTAAGTACCCCTACCCAGGCTGGCCTTGAACTTGCAGAGATCCTCCTGCCTCATCCTCCTGAGCGCTAGGGTTACAGGTGTACGTCACCATGCTGGGCTTTCGGGCGGATCTTTGCCGCAGCAGCTGCCCCTGGTACCCCTTGTGACAGGGACAGGGAGTCCCTGAAACACCGCGAGTGCCCTTGCCCTTGCCCTTCCTGCCCGGCTCTGTTTGCCAGCGCAGGCCAGGCCCGGGCCTCGCAGTGGTGTGGTGAGTGCCCGGGGGAACTCTGCCTGCCCTTTGCCCTGCAGGAAGGGCACGGCTGAGGCTGCCCTCTGTGTGAGTGCCCATGCTCCCCTCAGTGGCCGGGCGGACACACAGGATCGGGCGGCCCAGCAGCAGGTGGCCAGGTGGCAGACCGGTCAGAACGAAGCCGGGGACCTCCTCCCCCACCCACGCCGTGGCCTTGGCCAGGGGCGTCTCCTGCCCGGGGCTCTGAGGTCAGCCCGCGTCCTCCTCCGGCTGGGACCCCATTGTCCTGGCCAGACGTGGTGCCAGCCCATTTTTCCAGGTGCTGGCCGTGGCTCCGAGACAGGCAGGAAATGCCAGCGGGGATTCGGCGGGGCGTGCAGCCCGTGATGCCCCACGCGGCCTGGCAGAAAGGGCAGAGGAAGCGTGTGGCCCGGGAGCCCTGCTTCCTGCCGCCGCCGCCCCTTCCCCCGGGTCCCCTCCACAATGGCCCTCTGTGTGGCCTCGGGCCCCCGTGAGGTCCCAGGAGGGCCCTGACAGCAGACACCACTAATTGGACGGGGCACGCCTGGCACACGGCACGCACTGAGAGGGCCATTGTGGGGAGGTATTATTGTTCCGTGGGTGCGGGGCAGGGCGGCTCAGCCAGCTGGACGGGGTGTAAATTGTTATTTACAGTTTCTGAGCTTTTAAAAGCAGAGCTGTCCTGGTGCCTGTACTGCTCCAGACCTGCAGCACCATGGCGACCCTGGCGACTCTGGTGTCCCTGCTCCTCCTGGGGGTCCAGACCCAGGTCAGGTCCGAATGGACCTACTCAGGTAAGCAGCACCCCATGGGGCTCCTAGGTGCCCACGTCTGTGTGGCGCCTCAGCTGGGGCTGGCTGTGGGTTCAGATGCTAGCTCTTCTCCGTTTTTAATGTTTAAATTTGCACAGCATTCTGGAGGCTGAGGCAGGAGGATTGCAATGAGTTGGAACCCAGCCTGTGCGACATAGCGAGTTCAAAACAGACAAAAATTGCAGTCACGGGGATGGAACCCAGGGCCTCCACACCGAGCTCCATCACCAGCCTTTTTAATTTTCTTCAGACACAGGATCTCGCTAAGACCCTAGGGTGCCCAGGCTGGGCTCAAACTTATAATCCTCCTGCCTCAGCCTCCCAGAGCACTGGGATGACAGGAGTATGCCCTGTGTCCGGGCAGATGCTACCTTTTCCATCTCTCTGAATGAATGAAGAATGAACTGAGCTCAAACTCCCATGCAGGAGAAGAGGACGTCGCTCCCGCTTCCCAAGCCCCAGATTCACGCAGGCTCCGCGCTTTAAACCTTTTCCACCCGCAGTGTTGGCGGCTTTTGAGCCAAAAACCATTTGCTTTCTTGGTCTGTGTAAGGAGAAAGTGCAATTCTTAGAGGGGACCCCTTGTCCTCCCAATGGGTGTTATAAGATTCCCCCTGGAGGGGCTGGGGATTTAGCTCAGCGGCACGGCGCCTGCCTGGCAAGTGCAAGGTCCTGAGTTCGATTCCCGGTACCAGAGAAAAACAAAAAACAAAACAAAAAGAAGATTCCTTCCTGGAGATGCCCCCAAGCACAGTTTATGCAGAGCCTCTTTTATTTCCTATTTTTTGTTTTGTGAGACAGGATCTCCCTAGGTAGCTCAGGCTGACCTCAAGCTCAAAGTGATCCTCCTGCCTCAGCCTCCTGAGTGCTGGGAGTATAGGCGTGTGCCACCACACCCTGCTTTGCCCGGAGCTCCTGGACTTGACAGGAGCCCATTTGCCTTCAGATGGCCCCCGGCCGCCAAGCAGAGTTCTGCAATGTGACCGTTAAAGTCCTGGCATTTGGCTCGGGCTCTGGCTCCAGGGTGAGCTGAAGACAGGACACTGGGTGTTGCCGCATGTGGTCACAGGGGCATCCGCTGCCCCATCTCTGTTCTGCACTGGGCCATGGGACGGGCAGTGCAGTCGCAGGGGACTGAGCCCACCCTGCATGGCCCCGGCTCAGGCACCTGGGGACACCCGCCCCAGGTGGGCACAGTGGGTCCCGCCGAGACAAGGGCAGTAGAGTCAGGGACATCCAGGGGGCTTTGGGTCCAGCGTCACAGCGTCCCCCATGAGCCCCGTTGTGCCACGGGACAGGAGTGCCACTAGCTGCCAGGGACGTCCAGGGCGCTGGCTCCATCTGGCTGATGCCCTGTGGTGGCTCCAGGCTGCAGGGAGAGGGAGGGTCCCGGGGACGAAGGACCCATCCTCCCCGCATGGCCCAGCTCCGAGGACAGGGGCGCAGGGACCGGGCGGGTGTTCTTCCAGGGCCTTCCAGGAGCACCGGGCAGCTACCCCTGTGAATGGGCCCTGGGCCACGGTGTCAGACCCCGGGGAGGAGGGAAGTTTAAAGCCGGGTTGGGGTATTAAGTGAGAAGAGACAGGCAGCGAAATAGAGAACCGAGGTTTCCACTGATTGAAAAGGAGCTGTGCAAGGCCAACGTGGAAACTCCATTCAAAACAGCGCCCCCAGAAGGCTTGGTGGGGATTCGCAATTGCATACGCAGGAAGCCACAGCTTGTCGGCTCTCCCCGGGGCTGAATTATCCGTGAGGGCAGCTGGCCTCATTACTCTGGCCCCTGGGATCATGAACCCTGTCCAAAAAGATAAACTTCCTTACTCAGATATTTTTACTTGACCTCTTCTTTTCTTTTTGAGACTAGATCTCATTTCTGGGCTCAAGGGATCCTCCTGCCTCAGCCTCCAGAGTAGCTGGGACTATTGGTGTACTGACTGTACCCAGATTTTCAATTTAAAAAGAGTCATTCCTGATGCCCCTTCAGTGGCCCTGACCCCGTGGCTGTAGCCCTGTGGTCTTCGCCACCCAGGGGCCCTGACAAAGGGGCTGCAAGAGAGAAGGTGCGAGCCGGGTTCCTGCAGCGTGGAGGTGGGGTGCTGCCGGGGGCTGGGAAGGAGCACAGTGTCCTCCGTCCCTGGAGGACAGGAGGAAAAGCCCTCCACCCAGCCCACAGCACCCAGCCGCTGTTCCCAAGCACCAGTACGTGGTCCCAGGGTGCTGGGAAGGTTCCAAGTCAGCACCAAAGCCCCTGAAACGCGGCCCTCGGAGCTGGCTCGGGTTTCCCGGCCCTCCCGGGGATCCTGGGACCCCTCTGTGTGGGCGCTGGCCTGGGGGGGCCCCTGACCTGTGCCCGCCGACTCCGTCGCAGAGGGGGACCTGGATGAGGAGCACTGGCCGCTGGAGTACCCGGCGTGCGGGGGCAGGCGACAGTCACCCATCAACCTGCAGCGGCAGAAGGTGCGCTTCAACCCGGCGCTGACGGCGCTCCACCTCACGGGCTACGGGGACGACCAGGCCGGCCAGTTCTCCATGACCAACAACGGCCACACGGGTAAGGGTGCCCGCGGAGGCAGGTGACTCGCACGGGATGGGAGCACAGAGACCCGAGGAGCAGTGTGCCCGCTGGCCTTCTAGGGCGGGGCAGCGACCTCTGGAGATGAAGGCCTGCCAGCTCCCCCAGCCCGGGCATCCTCTCATCGAGCTCACGGGGCCCAGAAGCAGGCCATGCGGGTGACAGTCACACGCCTCGTGTCCTGTGCCCCTCTTTCTCTATTTCTGTACCGAGTCTGAAACCATAAAATGCCCACTTACTTTTGCAAAACACCCCCTGGTTTGCCAGCAGACTCCCGAGCCTCCTGCCAGCCTGGGAGGAGGCATTCCTGGGCGGGGACCCTCGAGGAGCGCAGATGGCTGGTGCCCCGGCCGTGTCCTTCCCGGACACCCGGCGCCCGTATTCCGCCTGGGCCCTGGGCTGGGCCGTTTGTGCCTACGCACAGGTGCATATTGCACAACTGAGAAAAGCCGGTGACAGCAGTAAACAGAGGGCAGAGTCACAGCTGCAAATGCCACGGGTTTATGCGGCTGAGGTCACTGCACTCTACAGATAATCAATGAAACGCCCTCCGCTGCAGGGACAGGCCTTGCACGTGCTATGCCGTTGAGCTACATTCTCTCCTCCTTCTCTACCTTTATCTCTCTCTCCCTCTCTCTAAAACAGGGCCTAAGCTATGCCGCCCAGGCTGGCTTCTAGCTCCTGGGCTCACATGATCTCCTGCCTTAGCCCCCCAAGTAGCTGGGACCGTAGGAACCCCCCACTACCCCCTACAGCCCTTACATATTTTGATGTACAGTATTTTGCTTATTTTGGGGGTACCAGGATCCAGCTCAGGGCCTTGCGCTTGCTAAGCAGGCACTGTGCCGCTGAGCTACATCTCCAGCCCTGATGTACAATCTTTTGAATGGTTTTTATTTTTTTTATTTTTTTATTTTTATTTTTTTATTTTTGGTTTTTCTCTGGTACTGGGAACCGAACTCACGACCTTGCGATTGCCAGGCAGGCGCTTTTGCCGCTGAGCTAAATCCCCAGCCCCTATAGATGATCTTTTGAAATCATTTGGCTATACGCATTATAGTCAGCTGTAAGTTTTCAATAACTCTGAGCACATTTAGGCATTCTACGGAGGGAAACAGCAACTAATATACAAAGAAAACTCCAATGAAACATCGATGAGACTGTTTTTTAGCCCCCAACGCTCAGGTTCAGCACAGAGAGGTGCCTTTGTTAGAACCGACGGCCCGCGTCGACCCTGACCAGCACCAGTCTGCAGTTTACGTTCGGACCCTGTGGAATTCAGCAGACTTCTAATGAAACGCATCCCAGATACTTTCAGGGCCCCCTAAACCTGTGCTTCTTCTGCTCACCCCTCTGTCCCAAGGCCTAGCAATCCATGATCTTTCCTGTCTCCCAAGCTCTGCGTTCTCTGAGGTCCACCGTGGAAGCCTGCAGGGGGTGGCTCTGCAGAAGGCGCTCTTTCACCGGGGACCCGAGCCTGAGTTTCTTCTGTGGGACTTTCTGGGTGAACAGCCCATTTCTTTTCAGCATGGTCAGGATGGACCCCAGCTTTTGTTTATCCATTTACCTGTTGAAAGTCACCTTAGTTGTTCTCAAATCTCAGCGATTATTACAAAAGAAAGCTGCTGTAGCTGGGCATAGTGGCACACACCTGTAATCCCAGCACTTGGGAGGCTGAGGCAGGAGGATCGTTGTGAGTTTGAGACCAGCCTGGGCTACAAAGCAAGCTCAAGACCAGCCTGAACTGCCTAGCGAGACCCTGTCTCAAAAAGGCAAAAAAAACCCAAGCAAACAAACCAAAAAACCAAAAAACAGAAAAAACCAGGTAAATCTGTGTGCAGGTGCCCGTTGTGTAGCTTTCAACTCCTGAGCCAGTACCCAGGCAGGCGACTGCTGGGTCGTGTGGGAAGGGTGTGCTTCGCTGTGGTGGACGCTGCCTTCCAACGTAGCGACCGTGCTCTTCTGCCCGGGCAGCGGGTGCCATCGTGTCCACGTGGGGGCTCTGGCTGGGCTGCTCTGGGCAGTGTGCCCCGGGGAGCCTTGTGGCTGAGTTTGCGCCTGACTCCGACTCCTGATCCGTGTGTTCATCTTCCTCCGCGTATCTCCTTGGCAGAGGCTCTGCCCGTCCTCTGCCCATTTTCCGAGCAGCCTGCTTTTGCTTTCTGTTGTTGAGTTTTGGGCGTTATTGGACGTTTTGGGTAGCGGGCAGTTAGCAGCTGTGTTGTCAGGGAACATTTCCTTCCGGGCTTGCCTTCTCTCTCTCCGGCAGAGCTTTACCCTGGGCAGTTTTTAGTTTTCATGAAATCCAGCTTCTCCATAATTTTATTCATGGGTTGTGTCTTCGGGGTATGCAAATGTCCCTGCAGGGCTTGGGGTGCAACTCAGGGGTACAGCACTTGCCTGGCATGTGTGATGTCTTGGATTCTACATCAGCACTACACACACACACACACATGCACACACAGGCACACACATAATGCAATGCACACAACACCGCCAGGATTATCAATAGTTTTGCATTTTTGTAGGTCTGTGGACCGTTGGAGTTGTTTTGGGGAAGGATGCCAGGACCTCATGCCTGCTCCACGCTGACCCCAGGGGCGGCGAAGCTTTTAGAGCCCGGGTGCCCAAACTGCACCCGAAAACCCACTTACTTATTGCAGAGCGCCACCACTGCTAGTAACCCTGAACGCTGAGGGGTTTTAGTTTAGAAAAAATGCACACATCAACATCTTTTGTCTTCAAAGAAAAGCACAGTTACAGAGATCTGAATGAGCTAGTTCTTACTGAAAGGTCAAGGTGTGCACTTGACAGGCTTTTGCACAGTTGTGATCTTGGCTGTTGTGCGTGTGACGATCATGGTCAAAGCCGGGTCTGTGCTTCGCCTGACAGCAGGGCGTGCAGCACTCGGGTCTCTGCTCACCTGTTGCCCGAGTCAGGTGTGATTAATTCAAAGCTGAAATCGGCTGCTCACAAGCCAAAGTCCCGGGGGCCACCTGCCTCGCCTGCCAGCAGAGAGGGCTCTGCGTGCCCGCTGTGGCACACATGCCATAGGTTCTAAAACCACTGCCCCGCCCTGCCCCTATGAACAGGTTTTGATCTTTGGAGGCTGGGTGTGGCTTTTTTTTTTTTTTTTTTTTTGAGACAGGGTCTTGCTATGCAGACCTTGCACTTGCCAGGCAGGCGCTTTTGCCGCTGAGCTAAATCCCCAGCCCCCCTTCTGTTTTCTGAGATGGGGTCTCACTGTGTAGTTCAGCCTGGCCTTGAACTCACTATGTAGCCCAGGCTGTCCTCGAACTTGCAGTGAGCCTCCTGCCTCAGCCTCCCAAGTGCTGGGACTACTGGGGTTCACCACCGTGCCTGGCTCTGGGCTCTTATCTTCTGAAGATGAGTCAAGTCTTGGGGATGTGAGGTTGGCAGTGGGGGGCTTGGTGCTGGGTCGGCCCAGCTCTGAGTGGGTTCCCCTCTCCGGTCAGCCTTCTGTCCCCCGCCCCACGGACCCGCAGAGCCAGCAGGGGGCGCCCTCGCACCCGAGCCCTGCGGGCGGGCGGGCAGCCGTGGGGCCAAGCCCAGGACACACGTGGGTCAGGGCTGTAACACAGCACCCTCACCTCACCTCACCGCTCCGCCCGGGTGTAAACTGAGTAAGCTGATCGGCGCGGTCTCAGGGCCGTCACGCCCCAGTCCGCGTGGTGGGCCGTCCCCGCCTTGGCCGGGGTGGGGAAGGGAATTTTGGAGTGGCACGCAGCGGCCGCGCTCTTGCAGGGCTCCCCTTGCGGAGGACCGGCCTGCTGGACCGGCCCCCGCCCAGCCCTGCACCCCGCGCGCGGAGCCCCGCAGCCCTGGCTCGCTCTGGGCGGGGCCGAGGGGCGACCCGGAGCCCCGGGCCGGAGGTCTGAGCGCCCGCCGTCTCCTCCAGTGCAGATCAGCCTGCCCTCCAGCATGCGCCTGGCGGCGCCCGACGGCGCGGAGTACGCGGCCGTGCAGATGCACTACCACTGGGGCGGCGCCTCCGCCGAGCTCAGCGGCTCCGAGCACACGGTGGACGGGATGCGCCGGGTCATCGAGGTGCGTGAGGGCGCCGCGGCCCGCTCCCTCCCCTCTGCGGGGCAGGGTCTTGCCCTGTCGCCCCGGCTGGCCTCGAGCTCGTGGTGCTGCTCCTTGCCCGCCCTGTCCCCAGCCCCCGGGGACCTGGGGGGCCCAGGGCTCTTGGGGCACCCCTGGCGCCCCTGGCATGTGGCAACACCCCCGCAGGCATCTCCCCGGCTTGGCTCCGGGTCTTGGTGGCGGAGCACAGAGGGGGGCGCTGCGGGTGCGGGGCACAGGCCGCCGGCTGTCCTCTTTCCTCCGCAGCCAGCGGGGCCTGTGTGAGCTGCCCCCGACCACCGGGTGCCTCTCTCGTTCCCGCAGATTCACGTGGTTCACTACAACGTGAAATACGAGAGCTACGATGTAGCCAAAGACGCCCCGGATGGCCTGGCGGTGCTGGCCGCCTTTGTGGAGGTAGGTGGTGTAGACTGATGTCCGTCTGCCTGCGGTGTAGACGGCACAGTGTCGGGTGTAGACCATGATCTTCCTCGAGTCTCTCCTGTCCTTTCCCTGCTCCGGCCCTGGGGAAGCTGACTCAGTGGGGGACCGACCCCTCCTCCGGGCCCTGCTCCCCCTCTGGGCTGGGAACCTTGGGGGGCGCGGATAACCGGGTCAAGATGAAGCGGGAGGCCTGGAGCCACAGCGGCTTCACCTGACACAGACAGGAGGAAAGGCGGGGCCCACCTCTCACCCAGGGGACAGAGAAAGCAGCTGTTTCTATGGGCTGCGGAGGGCGGGATTAGGTCTGGGTGGCTATAAGTGCTTGGGAGCTGAATTGCCAAAAGGTAGGTATTAAGCTCGGTAAAAGTATAAAAAACTTTTTCCCCCCACAACACCACAAAAAACAAAAACAAGAGCAAAACCCCAATCATTTCGGTGCGCTGGAGAGGCCAAGGCGAACAACAAATTAAGACATTCACTCATGCGAGTGGTTATCATTGAAATAAGAACACGCGTGTGCGTGGGCCTCACCTGGCTCTTCCATCCACTGGAGCACGGTCAGCGGGCGGCTTTATCAGGCCGGGCCAGCCAGGAGCGGGGCTGACCTGGCGTCAGACCCGGGTGCCCACCCGGCAGCAGCCATGCCGCCAGCAAAGGCAGGAACAGGGCAGGAGAGATGGCAGAGCCACAGGGGCAGCTTGCGGCTCTGAGGTCCGGGGCCTGGTCATGGCGTTGTCCTCAGGGTTTGCAAGGGAACAGATTTAACACGGGACACAGAATTTACAGGATAATTTTATAACAGTCACCCAAAAAGTCAAAACGGAAGAGTGCAAGAGAGCTGTCCATGTGCTAGAAACTTAAAGAATGCAGCTGAGGGCCTGGGTCCCACAGCAGTGTCCTCCATGAGTCCAGCTGGAGGCCTAGAGCCCAGGACAATGTCTCCGGCAAGTCTGTGTCAGGGGTCTGCACTGGGGAGGCCCAAAGGTCAGTGGCAGAAGCTAGAAAGTCTGCGCCAGAGGGAGGAAGGATCTGGCCAGGAGGCTGAGGGATCTGCACGGGAGCCAGGAAGCGACACCCAAGGTGAGGGCCAGAAATTCCCCTGAAGAGAACCACAGCCATCCTCAGCGACAGCGAGGACCGGAGCTCCTCCGTGGATGAGAACAGCTGAGTTCCTATCAGGAAAACCAGCGCAACAAGCTTCTCCCGGAGGATCAACAGCGCCCCTTCTCCCCTCCTGTTCTCCTTTTATGCTGTTGGCAACAATCCTCAGGTGGAACATTTGAGGGCCCCCACCTTTGGCCAGGCCCCGCCTCTTCGGAAGGCCCCATACCCTGGCAAGCGCATCTCTGCCCATTTGCTAGGGAGGCACACAGCTGCGTCTTCCTGCTCCAGCTAATGGCTCCTTTCTCCTCCAGGTCGAGGACTACGCTGAAAACACGTACTACAGCAGCTTCATCTCCCACCTGGCCAACATCAAGCACCCAGGTAGGACGCCAGGGAGGAGACGAGCGATGCGTGAGGTGGAGCAGGGTGCGGGGATGCTGCTAAGGATCTGAGGAGCTGCCTGGGGACTCCGAGGAACCTGCTCACGAGCACTACGAGCTGTGTGACAAAGTAAAAACTGTGTTGCAGTAGAAGATGTGGCCAGTATCCCCCTCAACGCCCTCCCTTGCTCCCAGCCACTCGAATGTGTTGCTCTTGCCACTTTCTGAAGCATCCTGGAAGTCCCTTTCCATGTCTTTCTTTCTTTCTTTTTTTTTTTTTTTGAGACATGGTCTCGCTATGCAGTCCAGGCTGGCCTTGAGCTCACTTTGTAGCCCAGGCTGGTCTCGAACTTGCAGCAATCCTCCTGCCTCAGCCTCCCCAGTGCTGGGATTATAGGCGTGCGCCACCACGCCTGGTCGGTTTCATTCTTTAATTACTTGTTTCCATGTCTTTAGTTACCCTTGTGGCTGCCCCAGTGTCCCGGATCTATGTGAAATGTTTATTGTTCATCCTTATTTTGACTTTGGGGTAGAGCCAGTAGTTGCATGATGCCAGGTCCTGCGAGTCAGGCGGGTGAGGACACATGATGTTTTTACAGCCTGCCTTTCTGGGTGGCACAGGGAGCGGCATTCACCATATTTTTGATCACACCTGTGCAGACACTCACGAAAGCGGACTTCCAGAACTGCTTCTGAACGCGGCGAGAGCAGTGGGCTATGTGCTGTCTCTAATGTCCCTCTACCTCCCGCCCTCCCTGTCAGGACAAAGCACGGTGCTCAGCGACCTCACTGTCCTGGACATGCTGCCCGAGGACCTCGTCCACTACTACAGCTACTGGGGCTCCCTCACCACCCCGCCCTGCACGGAGAACGTGCGCTGGTTCGTGCTGGAGGACTCCGTCAAGCTCTCCAGGGCGCAGGTAATGCCAGCTGGCATCGCCTGCTCCAGCCCGGGCTGCTGGGGCACCGAGAGGGCTCCCGGCCTCCCTAGGGCTGACACCTGGGGCTCCGTGGCATCTGTCTCATGCAAGTCTGCTGCGCCTCCCACGTGACTGTGGGTGTCCTCACCAGGGCCGTGGCAGAGACTGGTAACCCAGGCATCTACGGACTCTGTTCACTGCTATGCGGTCAGTGAGGCCGGTTATCTTCTCACGCACATCTAGAACGTTTTTCCACATGGTGGGAAGTCAGTCAGGGTCCAGTTACCCAGAGTCAGTCTGGAATTCAAGAGTCACTCCTGTAGGTTTGATATTAATGCAAAAGAACTTTTTACAAATATAATAAAAAAAAAGTGCTGGGCGTGGTGGCACACACCTGCCATCCCAGCACTTGGGAGGCTGAGGCAGGAAGTTCGTAGTGTTTGAGTCCAGCCAGGACTACATAGCAAGATTCTGTCTCAAAACCAAAACAAAACAAAACCAACTCCTCCAAAAAAACACCCCAAGCCCACAACTTTACACTAAACACATCCCAGTGAAACCCCAAAACATAAAAGACTAAGAGAAGGTTTGAAAATCCAAATGGAGCGCTGGGGATATAGCTCAGCGGCACAAGCACCTGCCTGGCAAGCTCAAGGTCCTGAGTTTGATTCCCGGTACCAAAAAAAAAAGAAAGAAAGAGAAAGCAGGCAAGCAGTTGTAAAGAAAACCGTGGGCCTGAGAGCTGATCTGACCCAGGCGCAGCAAGGGCGGGAGGGGCTGGGTCCTGCTTCCCAGCGAGCGAAAGCGAGGCCAACTCCGATTCGACTCACAGCCAGGACACCTGGGCAGGTGTGCACAAAGCCCACAGGCGGTTCAGCAAGACAGAAAGCAAGCGCACCGCGGAGATCTTTCTGTTGGCTTCTTTCTCTCTGTGCAGTAGCAAAATGCTCATAGGAAAAGAGATTAGAAGAGAGTGCAGGCTGGAAGAACGAGCAGATGGACGAATTCTTTAGCTTGCCTGGCAAGCGCGAGGTTGTGAGTTCGATTCCCGGTACCGGAAAAAAACAAAAAAACGAAAGACACATCGCCATGAGTCCCCCTCACAATCCTCTCCCTCCATTCAAACACACGGGTCCCATTTTTCTTGCTACTCTCTGTAGCAGCTCCGGAGTCCTCTTTCCTCGGTGTCTTGAGTTGGCAGTTATGGCTGCCTTGATGTCCTGAAAGGATTCAAAGCCTTCACCTTTCATGGTCATCTTAACTTTGGGGAGGAGCTGGGGGTGACACAGTGGCAGATCCAGTGAATAAGGTGGATGAGGACACAGCGTCATGTTTTATTTGACAGAAATTTCCATAAACATTTCGAACTGATTCAGGACGTGAGACAGCCATGAAAAGATACTCTCGAAAGAACACTTCCAGAAGAGCTTTGGAAAGTGGCGAGAAAGATGGATTAGTGTGTCCAAAGTGAAGGAGAGTATTTTGAGGGAGAATAACAACAACGTGTCATTTATTTGTTTATGGGCTTTTTGAGACAGAGGCTTACTATGTAGCCCAGGCTGGCCTCCAACCCATGGCAATCCTCCTGCCTCAGCCTCCAGAGTGCTGGGATTACAGGCACGTGCCACCACACCAGGCCAACATTCACCATATTTTTGGATCATACCTCAGCATGCCTGGCACAGAATACCTAGACTCTCCCCTGGACTTGAGCTCTTACAAGTGCTGGCCTGGCCGCTGACTGAGCTCTTGGCAGTGATTCCCTCTGTGTGGCCCGCAGGTCTGGAAGATCGAGAACTCTCTGCTGACGCATCACAACAGGACGCTGCACAACGGCTACCGCAAGGCCCAGCCGCTGCACGGCAGGGTGGTGGAGGCCAACTTCTACCACTTCCCCAGCCAGCGTGAGTGTGCCGCGCCTGCCCCTGTGCCCCTCCCGGCTCCTGCCCCTCCAGCTCCCGGTGGCCACAGAGGGCAGGAGCTGAGGTGCAGGACAGGGCCTGGGGTGGGGGTGGTGGTGCTGCCAGTCCAGACAGGAGGGACAGTGAGGGGACAACAGCGCTGTCACCGCTGGTTTTGACGGTAGGAGAAGCAGGGGCGGGTGACAGACAAGTGGAGTTCACATTGAGGGCACCGGGCTGGACCCCAGTAGCCCCCTTCGGGCGCTGTCTTCCTCCATGAGACCAAAGATTATTTCCTGGACGTGCTTGGGGGTCAAGCACAGGCCCCAGGTGCTGGGGGCGGCAGGAGCTGTCCCGCCTCTCCTGACCCTGCTGGTGCCTCAGGTCAGGTTCCAGCTGGCATCTCAGCTGGTCTCATCGTGGTGGTGGCAAGAACGCAAATATTGCTGGGCGTGGTGTCACATGTCCATCATCTTTGTAGTCAGGAGGCTGAGGCAGGAGGATTGCTGTGAGTCTGAGGCCAACCTGGGCTACAGAGTGAGCGCAAGGCCACCCTGAGCTACATAGCGGGACCTGTCTCAGAAAACAAATTTTTATTTTGAAAAAATTTTGAGACAGGATCTTCCTAAGTGAGACACCTCATACTCTGTTTTCCCTTCAGATCGTATAAATCTTTTGCCTTTTACTAAGTGAGACACCTCCTTCCCAAAGGGTGGTGGCCTGCTACACAGGCCTAGCTTCTCCTAGGCTTTGCAGAGGGACTGCAGACCGGTGGACCTGTTTCCTGGTTAGAGACTTCTCCAGGTTTTTTTTTTTTTTTTTTTTTTTTGAAAAGGTTTTGTTATTCTTGCAACAGTTGCGGACAGACTGTACAGTGTCCTATGTGGCACACTGCACGAGCATTTCCCGCCAGGGGTTCCCCCAGTTTACTCAAATGAGGGACCTCAGATATTCTGTCCCCATGCTGGACGGAAGTGCTCATGTTGTCCTTGGCTTGCAGCTGACTCTGTGGCTCTCCCTGCCAAGACTGCTGGTTTTTTTTTTTGTTGTTTATTTATTTATTTATTTTAAACTTTAAAAGAATTCTTTTTTTTTTTTTTTTCTCCAGTACCGGGAACCGAACTCACGACCTTGCGCTTGCCAGGCAGGCGCTTTTGCCGCTGAGCTAAATCCCCAGCCCCAAGAATTCTTTTTATTTTAAAGTTTTTTGTTTTTTTAGATAGGGTCTCACTCTGTAGCCCGGGCTGGCCTTGAACTCACAGCGATCCTCTTGCCTCAGCCTCCTGAGTGCGGGGATTGCAGGCGTGCGCCACCAGCATGCCTAATGGACCTCCCAAGGTTCGGCCTTGCCAAACTAATTTTTTTTTTTTTTCTTTTACTGAATATGTTTTAGGCTCAGAGGTCGAGTTTTTACTACACAGGATCGAGAACAACATCCAGTACTTGGTTAAGGCTCTGGCGCCCAAGAAGGCTAAGAAGCAGTACTAAGGGGGGCGGCACCGCGGACGCGCACGGGAGAGGGCGGCCGGGCGCGGAGAGTCCCGGGACGGGCGCCCTGCACACCGACTGGGCTTCTGATTAGGACGGGAAACCATCACCCGGGACAAGACGGGACTCGGGGCCGACGTCGCCTATGGAAATTGATGGGCGCAGAAATGGCGCGGCCCCTGGGCTCTAACTCACCCGCTGGGGCTCCGGGGGCGGCTGGGGCGAGCACTTGCCTGACACGCGCGAGGCCCTGGGTTCCCTCCCGGGCACCGCAGAAATCATCCCTCACTTGGCATAATAATAAATCAGCACGTGGAAGCAACGGTGCAAGACGCAGATGCACGCAGAGCCGCCCCGCTCGGGTCAGAAGGACACAGGGGCGCTTCTGCGGGGGCAGAAATAGTCTGGGTCTTGACGTGGCTGCACGATGACCCGCACTCGCTCACCTGCACGCGACAATATTTCTTGAATGAATGTATCACGCTGTACATAAATTACTCATAAATTATTAAGTACCATTCGCTTGGGAAAAAAGAAAAAAAAAATCAGCCTGATTCCCTTTAGCGTTTAGATGTAATAAAATAATTTTGGAAATTTGTTTTAAGATTCCTTGTTTCTATTCCTTTGTACCTCTTGGGATACAGCCCCTGCGGAGGCGCACAGGGCACAGGGGAGGGCGGGACGAAGTGGGCGTGGAGGGGAGGAGTTCCAGGGCTAAGATTCGGAAAATGGAGGGCGATTCTTCCGCAACCCTGTAGGCCGGAGAGTGACAAATCATCGCAGACACCAGCAGTCACATCAAAAACACTGGGGCCGTCTTGAGAGGACTCGGGGATGTTGGCTCCATCCCAAAACACAAGACCAGGTGGCCGGGCGTGGTGGTACAGGCCTGAGAGCCCAGCACTTGGGAGGCAGAGGCAGGAGGGTCGCCTGGAGTTCGAGGCCAGACGGGTGCATAGCAAGACCCTATCTCAATAAAAGAAGAGAAAGGCTTGGGAGGGCGGCTGACACAGACAATGTGTGTGGCTGGGGCATGGCCGGGCGCGGAGGCTGCCGGGAAGCTTTATCACCTGTGAGCACAGAGGGAACGTGTGAAGCCGTCAGGCATCTGTCCTGTCTTTCCCGTGCAGCCTGAGTCTCAGAGGCCTCTCAGAGTCGCCTGTCTGTGTCGCCTGGCTGCAGGAACGAGGGATGGAGCGACCGCCCTGATCACACTTGCAGAGCCTCTTTCAATGAGGCCGCAGTGGGGTCCACGCTACCGTGTCCTTTGTGGCCACCTTCGGCCATCACAGGGGGCCAGGCTGAGCTCCAAGCCGGGCCGGGCAGCCAGCTCAGGAGCTGTTGGTCTGCAGACTGCACGGCCCGACAGAACCCGGCAGAGCCGCCGCGGGCCCCGGACACCCACGAGAGGCGAGGGGCGGGTTGCTGTGTGGGTTGATGCCGCCAGACACCACCGAGGTGTGTGACCCTCCCAAACCCCGGGCCAGCTCGCGTCACGGGCCTCGGACGACTGGGGCCGCGGAGGGGTGTCATTCCGCACAGACTCCTCGGGGACAGGAGTTTTGTCTCCTTCCTTTTCACAGCAAACTGAGGAACAGAAGGAGCCGTGATCATCTGGCTCCAGAGCGGCTCGCTGAAAATGGCTGAATGAATGAACTAGGGCTAGATAAAGAGACCCACAGGAAAAGGGTGAAGAATCAGAGAGAAAACTCAGAGAAGGAGAGGAAGCCACCAGGACTTACAAGAGAAAAGGAGAAGCAGGAATGACCAATAAATCCTAGAAGCTGGGTGTGGTGGGGCACACCTGTGATCTCAGCACTCAGGAGGCTGAAGCAGGAGGATCGCCACAAGTTTGAGGCCAGCCTCGGTACATAGTGAGACCCTGTTTCAAACAAAGCAAAACAAGGCACAGAGAAAGAAGAGAGGCAGAGGAAGGGAGCCCAGGACGCGTGGTGTGTCTGTAATGACTTCTTGGGAAGGTGGGTGGTGGACTGAAGGATAGTCATTACTCTTTATTACTGTTTATTCCCTTAAAACACAAACCGAGCCCTGCCCTTCGTCTGAACAAGCCCTCCTGTGGTTTCCATCACAGTGAATAAATCCAAAGCCCTAATTGTGGGCTGCACCCCTGCCCAGGGCTACTCTCTGCACACGCACTCTCCCACCTCCTTGTCATTCCATGGTGTTCTTTGGCTGTGCCTCACACAGCCTGGCCACAGGCCCTTTGCACATACTCCTCTTGGGCTGGATGGATGGTGTGGGCCTCCACTCCTTGTTTTGCTTTTCTGTACCACGGAGGCCACCAGCCCATCTTCTCTCTTGCCCCAGAGGTGGACAATGAGCTTGAGGGGACCCTGAGTGTCTTGGCAGACACCCTGAGTGGGGGTGGGATGAGGCCCTTAATCACTGGGGCAACCAGGAAAGCAATTAGACCAGCTATGAAACACGTGAAGGCAAAAAGTGTTCTGTTTTTAAAGTTTTCTCAAAAGAGGGTGTGTGTGGCTGGGCGTGGTGGCGCACACCTGTCATCCCAGCACTCGGGAGGCTGAGGCAGGAGGATCATTGAGAGTTCGAGGCCAGCCTGGGCTATAAAGTGAGCTCAAAGCCAGCCTGAACTGCATGCATAGTGAGACCCTGTCTCAGAAAGACAAAAAAAGAAAAAAAGAGGGGTGGTGTGGCTCAGTGGTAAGCGTCTGCCTAGCGTGTATGAGACCCTGGGTTCTATCCCAGCACTGCTAAGAAAAGGAAAGGAAGAAAAGTTCCTGGTGGCTTAATTCTTAAACTGAGCATCGTGGCACAGGCCCATAGTTCCAGCTCTTTGGGAGGCTGAGGCAGGAGGATGGCAGGCTTGAGCCCAGCCTGGGCAACTTGTGACTTTGGGAGACCCTGTCTCAACATCAAAAGGGCTGGGGATATAGCTTAGGGCAAAGGCCCTGGGTTCTATCCCCAGGAACAGAAGAAAAAAAGTGGTTTTTTTTTGGAGACAGGGTCTCCTTTATGTAGCCCAGGCTGGCCTTGAACTCATGGAGATCTTCCTGCCTCAGCTTCCCAAGTGCTAGGATTACAGGCATGTGCCACCATACCAGCTCGAAAAAAAGTGTTCTTAAAGTTTTTCATAAAATTCAGCTAATTAAGCTTGCTTAGTTTTGAAGTTAGCAAGCAGTAGAACGGATCGAGGATTTGTTTGGAGCCGAGGCCGGGCGGAAATGTGCATGTGTTGTTGGGCGAATGTGAAGGGGGGCGTCCGCAGCAGGGATTTGACTCACAGGGTTGGTTAGGTCAGGATGAACAGCGCTGCTGCTATGGTAATAAAAAAGATGCAGCCGGCATGGCGGTGCACGCCTGTGATCCCAGCACTTGGGAGGCTGAGGCAGGATGGTGGCCGTCAGTTTGAGGCCAGCCTGGGCTGATAGCAAGACCCTCTCTCCAAAAAGAACCAAAAAGAAAGTCTAGAATTTTCCAGCATTTAAACCTGTCACCTTCTTTTTTAGGCAGTTATATTCGTTCTGCCTTCACTTCACTGAGAGGAAGAAAATGAAAGTTTGCAGTCGTCGCCGCCGTTTTCGTGACTTGATGGAAGCTGTGAAGGTCCTGGATTAACTGTGACTACTGTTAACTTCCATTTCAGTCCTACAAGCCGCACCGAGGCGGAGCTTACCTGATTCTCACCTGAAACCTGGAAAACCCAGACATCAACTCAAGAGAAAGTGGAAAGGTTTCTAGTGATAAGAGGTTTGTGTTTTTGTTTTTGTACTGGGGGTTGAACGCTGGGCCTTTTCACGGAGGTACATCCCCGACCCTTTTCCATTTATTTATTTATTTATTTGTCTTTTTGAGACAGGGTCTTGCTATGCAGTTCAGGCTGGACTTGAGCTCACTCTGTAGCCCAGGCTGACCTCAAACTCACAACCATCCTCCTGCCTCAACCTCCTGAGTGCTGGGATTACAGGCATGTGCTACCACACCTGGCTTTCATTTTTCATTTTTTATTTTTTATTTTTTTATTTTTTTTGGTTTTTCTCCGGTACCGGGAACCGAACTCATGACCTTGTACTTGCCAGGCAGGTGCTTTGCCGCTGAGCTAAATCCCCAGCCCCTCATTTTTTATTTTGAGACAGGGTCTCCTTGAATTGTCCAGGCGGAACTCAAACTTGGAATCCTCCTGTCTCAGCCTCCCGGAGTGGGATTACGACCTCCACCACTATACCTGGCTTAATGCTTGCTGTTTTTTTTTTTTTTTTTTTTTTGTCTTTTGGAGACAGGGTCTCAATATGCAGCTCAGGCGGGCCTTGAGCTCACTTTGTAGCCCAGGCTGATCTCGAACTCGCAACGATCCTCCTGCCTCAGCCTCTGGAGCGCTGGGATTGCAGGGGTGCGCCACCACGCCCGGCCAATGCTCACTTTCTATATTACATTCCTGCAGAGCAGAGCGCTCAGCATCCCTCTCCAGCAAGGAGAGCCGCCCGCTCCTGCTGGGAACGTGCTGCCCTCCAGTGGCCACGGTGAGGACCGCAGGGCCAGTGCCCGGGGGACTTGGAAGTGCTTCTCTTCTGTCTCTCCCATTTTCATATTGGTAAACTGAGGCCCAGAGACCTATAATTGTCCCGTGGAAAGATCCACAGACATCAAGGACAAGTGCAGGTCCCTGGATGGTGCTGGGGAGCGGCGGGGGTTGCCCTCGGCAGCAGCTGGTCCTTGAATTTCAAAGCACCTTCACATCTGTGTCTGTAATTCCAGGACTCTGGGAGGCTGAGGCAGGAAGACCCCAAATTGGAGGCCAGCCTGGGCAGTTTAGTGAGACTCTTCCAGTTTAAGGAGACCCTGTCTCAAAATAAAAATGTAAAAAAGAGTTAGGGAAGGGGCTTAGTGTCACCACCCAGGTTCAACTCTTAGTACAGAAAAAAAAAAAAAAAAAAAGCGCTGCAGAACACGTGCGGACTGATTCTGTTATAACAACCCCGAAAGGTAAATGCTGACACTACTATCACCCCACTCTTCAGAGTGGAAAATGAGGCCGAGAAAGCAAGGAATGTGCTCCAGGGCAGAGCCAGGGCGCACAGTCCATGCTGTGAGGCGGTGGCTCGGCAGGGGGTGAGCTGCCTGTCCACCGAGGCGTTCAAGCCCGGGCCTGGGGGGAGCCTGGGGTGGCTGGAACGCGGCTCCTCCTGGAGACAGACGGGCAGCACAGGCCGGTGTCGGAGTCAGGGTCTCACAGAGGCGGGGAGTATCAGCCAAGCTGGGGCTCTCGGTCGGGACGGGAGGGGTCCCTGGAAGAGACGCCCGGGGAGTGAGCCCTGGGAGACTCTGGGTGCATCCGCAGAGCTCCGCTGGGTGCCCGGGCCGCAGCCGGACTTGCAGCCGGGCTTTCCGAGTGTCCGCGAGGGGGACTCGGGCCTCACGCGCTCCCCAGGCTGCCTCGTCCCCGCCAGTGCACAGCTCATCCCAGCCCAAACCTCGGGAGCCCTGCATCCAGCCAGCCCCGAGGCCCCGGGGTGCGGGGTCCCCAGAGCACACGGCCGGCCGCACCCCCACCCCGGGCTCAGGCTCCTGCGCTTATCGGGGTGGTGGCGAATTTGCCTTCCAGTTTTCTCCACTACCCAGAGAACGGACTTCGGGCCGGAGGTCCTCTGCGGCACGCACAGCCGCGCTTTGGGGAGGCGGCTCTCATTCTGCAGCACCCTCCTGCCCCAGCTCCGCCGGGGCGCAGGTTCCCGCCGAGAGCCGACCGCACCGCAGAGCGCGCGGCTGTGTCCGACTTGGGTCGGACTCCCGATTGTTGGGGTCACAGCGGCCCCCACGGGCACATTGCCCAGAGATGCGGGGGTCCCTGACTGACAGAATTTAAAAAAATTTTTTTTATCACTTGCATCTCTTTCCTTTTATTTTTATTTTCTGAGGCAAGGTCTCACTATGTACTTCAGGCTGGCCTTGAACTCACAATTATCTTGTCGGGGTTACAGGCATGTGCCGCCGCGGCTAGTTTAATTGCTTCTCTTATTTAAAATGTACAATTTCATTGGTGACTTACATACACATGCAGTTATCACCACACTCAAGACAATGAGAGTGTCCACAGGGTGTGCTGGTGCGTGCCTGCCTGTAATCTCAGCACAGCGGGAGGCTGAGGCAGGAGGACTGCAAGTTCAAACTCTGCCTGGGCAATTTAGTGACTTAGTGGGAACTTGTCTCAAAAATTATAAAAGCACAGTGTGTGTGTGTGGCGGGGGTAGGGACGCAGCTCAAAAAATGATGAACGTACTTCCATCACCCCAAAGGCCGCCCCAGGGAATTGCTAGTCTCCTTTCTGTCACTGCAGGTTAATTTGCATCTTTAAGAATTTGATATAATTGAGATAATATAGGATATACTTACTTTTTGGTCTGACTTCTTTTATTTATTTATTTATTTTGGTATTGGAAATCAAACTCAGGACCTTGCACTTGCCAGGCAGGCACTTGTGTCTCTGAGCTATATCCTCAGTCCTGTTTCTTTCATTTTTGTTTGTTTATTTTGTTTTTTGAACCAGGTCTCACTCTGTAGCCCAGGCTGTCCTCAAACTCATGGCAGTCCTCCTGCCTCAGCCTCCCGAGTGCTGGGATTCCAGGTGTGCCTCCCAACACCAGGCGTGACCTGGTTTCTTTTAACTGTGTTGCTCTGTGAGTCGGTGGTGCACATCTGTCCAGGGCTGAGCGCAGGTCTAGCAATGTTCCATGTGTCCCGCGCCCTTTGACGCCGCTTCCCACTTTCTGGTTCTTATACACGAGGCTGCGGTGGACATGCTCGTCCGTGCTGGAGACGCCTGTGCCGACGTCTCTGGGTAAACCCAGGCTGGTGTGCTGGACCCTAGTTGCGTTCCCAGCATTCCCTGGGGCTGTCGCTGTTTCTGAAAGGGTCGCATGACGCCCCACCCCACGCTCACCCACAGCCGGGCAGCGCCGGACTTTGCCTCCGCCCGCCGCTGCTCAGACTTGCTGTGGCTTCCCCCATCTCCACCCAGAGGACGGCTGCGGCCTCAACTTCTGCCTCTCAAACAAGCCTGCTGGGCTCCATCCGAACTGTGCTCCGTCTGCAGAGCAAGTTTGGAGGGCTCAAGCCAGCCCTGCTTCCCTGCGGTGAAGCCCTAGGGTCAGGACGCGCCCATATCCTTGCAGATAACCCCGATGCTGCTCTCTCAACGCGGGCCGATCCTCTTCGCCTGGGAGTGCAGGCCGGTGCTGGGTTGTGGCTTGGTTTGTGCGTCTGAGTGACACCGGCTTTGTAGAATGAGCTAAGCAGTTTCCCTTCTTCAGATTTCTGGAAGAGTTTGTGTTGAATTGGTATTATTCTTTCCTGGACTTTAATAGAATTCAATGGCTTCACTGAAGTCATTTTTTCCCTGGCATTTTTTTTCTTTTGTGGGAATATATATATATATATATATAATTTTTTAAGAAAAATTCAATTTCTTAGCTGAGTGTGGTGGATCCATACCTGCAATCCCAGCTATTCCAGAGGCTGAGGCAGGAGGATCAGATGTTTGTGGCCAGCCTAGGCACTTAGCAAGACCCTGTCTCAAAATTAAGCAATTTTTAAAAAGGGCTGGGGCCTGGTATGGTGAAACACGCTTGTAATCCTAGAACTCTGGGAGGCTGAGGCAGGAGGATTACAAGTCTGAGTCCAGGGGGTTGGGGATTTAGCTCAGCGGCATAGTGCCTGCCTGGCAAGCGTGAGGTCGTGAGTTTGATTCCCAGTACTGGAAAACAAATAAACAAACAAACAAAAAACAAAAGACAAGCCTGAGGCCAGAATGGGCAATTTGGTGATTTAGTGAGACTGTGTCTCAGCCACATTTCTTTTTTTTTTTTGGTGGAACTGGGGATTGAACTCAGGGCCTCGTGAATGCTTGGCAAATGCTCTGCCACTGAGCTGCACCTCCAGCCCCTTGACACTGTCTCGGAATAAAAAATAAAAATTAAAAAAAAAAAGGGCTGGAGTTGTACTTCAGAGCGAAGACCTTGGTTCAATCCCTGGTACTGAATTAGAAACCAAAACTGGCTGGGGATGCAGCTCAGTGGTAGAGTCCCCCTGGGTTAGATCCCCAGTTCCACAAAAAGCAGAACAAAACAAACAATAAAAATAGAAACTCAGTTTCTTAACTCACTCAGGATACTGAGCGTAGCTCTCTGGGTGGGCGCTGGCGCTCCCTGTGTTCAGGGCTTGTGCAGTTCAGCTACACGGTCAACACCGTCAGGAAACTGTGCACGACCCTCGCCCCCGAATGTGCCATGCTGTGCTGGGGCCTGCGGAGACGTGTGCCAGCTTTCCCCAGGCCCAGAAGGACCCCAAGGCCACCAGGTCACTTTCTTCAGGGACCCTGGGGACATCTGGTGGCCAGGCTTGGAACAGGGCATGAACCCAGGAGGATCCCTCATCTGGGAAGGTCATGCACTCCCAGACCCCTGAGGGCTATGCCGGTGCTGTGCTTGGACCCGATGTCCCCACGGCCCGCAGGTCCAAGGTCTGGTCCCACCGGCAACTCAAGTGAGGGGGGTGGAGTCTTTAAGGGGCGGAGCCTGGTGGGAGGAAGTGATGTCATGGGCATGGTCTCCAAGGGGACAGTGGGATGGCAGCGTTGGGGTGTCCTTAGGATATTGGAGTTGTCCTGGAGGGGATGTGGGACCCAGGCTCTGGGTCTCTCTCTGCTTCCTGGCCTGTCCCTTGCCAGAAGCTCAAAGGTATTGGTCACCTGATTTTAGATTAGAACTGTAGCACTATGAAGCCAAACCAAGCTTTTCCATTATGAGTGAATCCCCTTGGGTGTTTTGTTACCATAACATAAAGCTGATGAATGCATTGAACTTCACAAGTTTTACTTTGAGAGAGTGTGTTCATACGTCTTTAAGTTCTGGTACCAATGCAGAATCAAGGTATCTCTGTTTTTGCTTGTTCTACTGGGGATTGAACCCAGGGCTTTCATACTGAGCTATACCTCCTCTCCTTTTTATTCTACTTTGAGACAGGGTCTTTTTAAATTGCCCAGGTTGGCCTCAAACTGGTGATCCTCCTGCCTCAGCCTCCCAAGTAGCTGGGATTATAGATGTGCACCACCAGGCCTGGCAAGGAATTGAGTCTTATCAACACACGCACCCACCACCCCATTACTCCCCCCCAGACTCTGTGTTCCTTGGAGTACAATGGTCTCGCTGCTGTCACCCTGCCTAGGAGCCTGGGGCCCGGGTCCCTTTCTCAGGAAAGGCCGCCTGGAACTGGCCCGTGGGTGACACACCTGCCACTACAGGGCAGTCTCCTTGGCGGGCGCGGTGGGCGGGCAATGCCCCACTCCAGCGACTTCCTCTTTCTCCTCTGGAATCTCCACTCCGTTCCTCTTCGCAAAAATGCGGTTGACCTCCAGAAGGTCTTGCCCTTGGTCTCGGGGATGACCACGTAGATGTAGGCAGCGGTGAGCACGCAGAGCCCGGCAAAGACGATGAAGCAGTAGGAACCCAGGCCGGCCTAGAGGGCGCGTGACAGGGACGCCTCAGGGGAACCGGGTCCCGGGACATCAGAGCACAGCCAAGTCTCCTGGGCCTGCTTCCTGGGTCGGGGACGAGGGCCGGGGTGCTCAGCTCAGGAGAGAAGGAGTGACAGGGGCAGGGGCAGGGGCAGGGGCAGGGGCAGGGGCAGGGGCAGGGGCAGGGGCAGGGGCAGAGGAGTGTGCTGCCCTAACCCCACTTGCTTTCTGACGTCTTTGGGTTTCATAGCCCGCAGCCGTTCGTATGCAGTGAGGCCAACCCCCTTCCGTAGGGGGGACCGGCTCATCTCAAGAGCTGGGCCACAGCTGGGCGTGGCAGCACACGCCTGTAATCCCAGCACTCTGAGGCTGAGGCAGGAGGATCGTGGTGAGTTCAAGGCCAGCCTGGGATACAAAGTGAGACTCTGTCTCAAAAACAAAAAAGCAGTAGTGCTGGCGGTGTCTCGTGTGAGCACGGCTGAACTGGCAGCCGTCCTGCTGAGAGGGGGATCTGTCGCTCAGCCCCTGGGCAGGGCAGCGTGACACGGGCACGGGGGGAAGGGCGGCTCACCTGGATAGACGGGAACACCAAGCCTACGATGAAGTTGGTGAGCCAGTGCACAACCCCATCCACCGCGAAGGCGGCCGGCCACCAGGACTGCAGGAAGAGCTCGGTCCTCACCACCGAGGGCACGGGACCTGGAGGGCACAGGGCACAGGGCCAGTGGGGGGCAGCTTGGGACACGGCCTGCCTTGCCTGGGCCTGAGGCTCGCCTGCTGGGGGGCAGGTGGCCAGGGAGCAGCGAGGAACCCGCAGCAGGACGGCGAAAGGGTTCTGCACAGTGTCTGCTTGGGGAGCCGAGTGTGAGCGCCACGGCTGATTTCCCCGCAGCCTGCTGTGCCCGGGAGGGTCTGCAGAGGGCGACGTGGGCAGCGGAGCTTGGCTAGCCTGTGCGAGGCCCCGGCTTCCACCCAGCTCTGCACAAAAAAAGGAAAAGAAAGCAAGCGGGGGATGGACAGCTCCCCAGGAGCAGTGACCCGAGGATGGGTCGCTGTCCCCTCAGAGGCACAGAGGGGGTCATTTGAAATTCTGCGCCCCGCAGCTCCCGGGCTGAGGCAGCGCTGCCCCCTGTGGGGGGAGTGGGGAACTGCGGCTCCTGTTTGTCCCTCCCCTTGGGGCCTGCTGGTGACTGTCCCAGGAACGCAAAGCCATCACTCTCCCTCCTCGCCACTCCCATGAAAATTTAACACCGAAGACCCCCTGTACAGGGAGTGATCTAAAAATAGGGGGAATGTTTAAATAGACTTTAAAACAGTAACAGACACACAGCCACGAATCCCCTTCAAAACCCTCCCCCTCGCTTTGACCACACTCTTCCTACGGTTCCTGCTACTTTCTGAAGCAGCTCTGGAAGTGCTCTTTCGTGAGGGTCTTTGTGAGATGTGGTCCAAAAATATGGTGAATGCCACCGCCGAGCGCCGTCCAACAGCAAGGCAGCTCCTAAAAACACGACGACGCTGTGTCCTCCGCCACCTTAGCCATCAGATCTGAAACTGCGTGACTTCTGCTCTTCCCCCAAGTGAAAATGACTGTAAAAGGGGGACGTTTTGAATCAAGGCAGCCAGGACAGCATGGCTAACGCTATTCAGGGCAGGACTCCAGAGCTGCTGCAGAAAGCAGCAGGGATGCTGGGGTGAGCGTGTTCAAGGCCAAGGGAGTGCTCTGAGCGGGGTTCATGGCAGTGTGTCCTTTCATGTAACACGTTTTTTAAAGCGTTGGACATTCACAACATTCACTGTACTTTTCGCTGGTCCCTGTGTATCCGGTCTCCTCTTGCACGTACGCCTGTGGTTTGTACATTCAGAGTACGTTCTTCCCTCCCCGGCTCCTTCCGCATCTCCAGGTGGAGAGTCTGGGCAACACTGGGGACACAGATTAGTGAGGCACTGGCCTAACTGCACCACTGGTTGGCACTGGAGGTGTTTGTTGAATGAATAAATGTGACCCAGAATGGCTAGCAGGGCAAAGGTCAACTAACTGGGCAAGATCAGAGGACAAGCTTTTGGAGGGTGGGCCTGGCCGCATCAGGGATGTTGTGAACCCCAACCATCAGGTTGTCAGCGCCTACCGGCACCTGCATGCACCAGGCCTGCAGCCTGGCAGGGCGCAGAACTCACTTGGCCCGATGGAGTGTCCCGCGATGTACGCCAGGACGCAGACGACGCCTAGGCAGGACAGCTCAGGGACTGCGTCCTGTGGGGACAGACGAGGCTCAGACCTCACTGCTGTACCCAGCTTCCGGCCACGGGAGGAGCCACGCCTGCAGGCCTGAACTTTGCAGGGGCCTCTGGGGCTCTGTGGGCATGGGGAGGACAAGGACAAGGTCAAGAAGGACAGTGCTGTGGTGGTGGCTGCCATGACCCTTTCCCTGGTCAGGGGTACGGTGAGCAGGGGCGCTGCCCTCTGCACCACACAAAATCCACGCATTTCCCCTTGCTGTGGCCAGCTGAGCGAGCACGTTAAGGCCTCAGGCCTACAAAGGTGGACTTCGAGCCAGAGGACCCTGACCACGGGGACCTCGGGCCCCTCGGCCCCAGCACAGTCAGGCTGTGATCTTGGGTCCCCACTCACTCCCTGGGATCCAGAGAGCATCCTTCTAGGAGCCCCCAGGCCAGGATGCCCTGCAGACCACCTGGGCTTCCAATTCATAGTGAATCTCCTGCCTCAGCCTCCTGAGTGCCACCCTGCCCAGCACGTCCTCCTGCCTTAGGTCAGGGGATCCCATCGAGCCGTTTGCATGTGGGTGTAGGTGACACCATGGGCTCCGAGGAGAGAGCTGAGCGTCAACCCCGTGGTCGGGCTGGGTTGGGTCTATGGGGTCCCCCGCCCCCATCTCCCACTGGGCAGGGGAGGCAGCGAGACCTGGAAGAGCGGCGCCAGGCTCAGCACCAGGCATGCGCAACTGCAGACGCCGGAGCCGAGCAGCAGGAGGAGGCGCCGCCCCAGCCGCTCCACCGTGAAGGCCTGCGGGGACGCGCACTGAGCACCGGAGGGCACCGCGCTCCGCCCTTCCTGTCCGGCACCGCAAACCCTGGGGCCGCTGCCCCAGCCCCCGGCTGGGCCGGAAGTGGTGTTGGAAGAAGCAAAGAAGGAAGAAAAGAAGGAAGGAAGGAAGGGAGGGAGGAAAAGAAAAATCGAGCGCGCGGAGCTGGGTGTTAGGAGGTAAGCTCCGAATGACCCGCGTCACATCCGGGTGCGGGGTCACTGTGAGGACATCACACGTTTGCACAGACTGCATCTGAACGAACGCTGGGCTGCCCGGCCTAAGCCACGCAGGGGTCAGCGGGTGACCCCGGCCGTGGGGCTCCTGTTGCCTCCGGGGGCCACTCACCGAGACGAGGGTCACCACTATGTCGACCACACCAGCACCCACGGTCACGTACTGGGACTGCGCGGGGTCCACGCCGGCCGACACGCAGATGGTGTCTGCGTAGTAACTGACCTAAAACCCAAACCCGGGCTGTGAGGAAAGGCCGGAGACGCGGCCACGGGCTTCCTGTCTTCCCCTCCAGCAACACGCAGGCAGGGAGCCTGAGCTGGGGACCAGGGGGACATGGGGGAGCGAGGCAGCGGATGCCGGTGGAGTTAGGAGTTAGGACAGCGGGGACCAGTGCCTGGACCTTCAGGGCCAGGGCTCTGTGACCATGAGCCTTAGGTTCCGCATCTGTAGAGTGGGAGTCACCACTGCTCTGGGAGGCTGAGGCAGGAGGATCCCAAGTTGGATCCCTGCCTGGGCAACAGTAAGATGCTGTTTCTAAATAATCATAATAAAAAGTCTGTAGATGTAGCATAGTGTGAGTGCCCTGAGTCCTGATTCAATCCCAGTACCCTGCCCCAGCTCCCTTATGCTGGATTATTCTGTGAGAGCAGAATAAAAGGGTCTCATAGGACTTCTTTTATGTTGTTGTTTTGTCTTTTTGAGACACGGTCTTGATATGCAGTTCAGGCTGGCCTCCAACTCACTGTGTAGCTCAGGATGGCCTCGAACTCGCAGTAACCCTCCTGCTTCAGCCTCCCTAGTGCTGGGTTGACAGGCGTGGGTTTTTTAGAACTTCTTTCCTCTCACTTTTTTTTTGAGACAGGGTCTCGCTATGCAGTTCAGGCTGGCCTTGAGCTCACTTTGTAGCCCACGCTGATCTTGAACTCGAAACGATCCTGCTGCCTCAGCCTCCCAAGTGCCACCACGCCCGGTCTTTCCTCTCATTTTAGGCCCAGTAGACCGGTCTTCTGCTCGTGAACAGCGGGTTCACAAGCCTGGCACGCTGGTTCCCGCTGCTGGCTCCCACCCAGGGTGCCAACTTCTCCTGTAAACACTCTGTAAACACTGTGGACCTGAAGGCCCAGGGCCACCACCTCCTGATTACCCACGGGGCTGCCCGGCTGGCCACCAGGGCTCCACACACGTCCTCATGCTTGTCTCTTCGGGTCTGTGCCTTACTCTGCTCACCATGGAGCTACCACAGATGCAGCGTGGCCACGGAGGCTCTGCAGCTAGGGCACTACCTGGGCATCCAAGGCCCGTCCACACCCAGGCCAGGCCAGCCCCTGCCCTCCCTGGAGCTGGACGTGGGCCCAGGCTCCGGCTGCTGTGTGCCAGTCTGGAGCATAAGGGGGACAGAGCTGTTGGCAGGCTCCATGGGGGCTGGGAAGCAAAGAAGGACACTGTAGCTGGGGAGGCTGAGGCAGGAGGGTGGCAACTTTGAGGCCAGTCTGAGTAAGTTAGTGAGGCCCTGTCTCAAAATAAAACATTAAAAACTCTGGGATGTAGCGCAGCGATGCAGCTGCGCCTGGATTCTACACCCAGTACCAAGTGGATAAATGAACATAGCAAGACAAGAAGGAAGCGGCCCTCTGCGGGCTGGAGTTTGGAGGCAGAGAGAGAGGGTCTGTGACTTCTGCTTTCGGTCCAGTCCTCAGCCCCTCTGGGCTGGGTGCTCTGTCTTCCTCCGGAGCTGTCTGTGTGTCAGAGAAGTCTGATTTCCCTTTTCTTTCCAGTGGGTTTTTATTTATTTGGCCCGAGGATTAAACGACTGGACTCAGGGCCTCTGCCCCGAGTTACACCGCCACCGTTTTTATTTTTTATTTTGAGACAGGGTCTGGCTAAACTGGCCAGGTTGGCCTCCAATCCGACATGCTCCTGCCTCAGCCTCCTGAGTAGCTGGGATTAGGTTTGCATCTTGACACTTGGCTTCTAACGGGGTCTCTTTCCCTGCAGAAGCGCCCCGCGTGTCCCTCCCGAGGGGCGCAGATCCCGCCGCACCCCGCCACCCGGGGCACCGAGGCATGCACCGCGTTGATCCCCGACAGCTACTGGCCGGCCATGGGCGCGACCACGGACACGAGCTGCCAGCGCAGCGCCCGCTGGGCCACCAGGTGGCGCAGGGACGCGGGGCCGGCGGCGCGCTCCGCCCGCTCCTCGGTGTGCATGTCTCGCAGCTCGGCCTCCGCGTCGCCGCCGCGCCTCAGCCTGCGCGGGTCTGGGGAGGAGTTCACGCTGCCTCGGCGTCCGGCCGTGCGCTCCCCTTGGCCCTCCGTGCCCCTGCTGGGTGCCATCCCCACTGCAGACCCTCTCAGGGGCTGAGATGGAACCCAGGGCCTTGGCACTGAGCGGAAGCCCCAGCTCTGTTTAATTTTTGAGTCAGGGTCTCGCTAAGCTGCCCAGGCTGGGCTCCAATTTGTGGTCCTCCTGCCTCAGCCTCCTAGAGTGCTGGGATGACAGGTGTGCATCACCCCGCTGGGCTGTGGGAAGCTCTGGGGGTGAGTGGGTGGGAGGAGGGGCCCCGGAGGAGCCCCTGGCTTCCTCCTGTGGGGAGCAGGGTTAGGGTGAGGGTGAGTGTTAGGGTCAGTATCTCGCAGGGTGGCCTCTTCATCTCCTTTCTGAATCAGGGTGTAGCGGGGGCTCTAGGGGAAGACGGGCAGCGATAGCAGCTGCAGAAGCGCAGGGACCCCGGTGACAGCCAAGAGCACTGGCCAGCCTGAGGACGGATGCGAGGGAGGACTTGAGCCGCAACAACAGAGGTGGGGGAGGGGACCCGCTTCCTGGCGGGCCTGGCTCTGCCTCTGGCTGGGTGCGGGTCCTCCCCACCGAGGACAGGGACAGCGGAACCCGCCCAGGGCTTGAACGTGGAGAGAACGACTGTGATCAACTGCACAGCCAGGAGTGGAAAGTGTGGGCCTGGGAGGAGGGAACCAGGCCTGCGTCCTGGGCCCAGGGCCGGAGCTGGCCGCCTCGCCACCCTTGGAGGAGGGCAGGCTGCGCCCAGGTCCTTCTAGACATCGGCTGTGGTGGGGGGTTGTCTGAGCTGTCTGAACCTGTTTCCCACGTGGGAATACAGACGGTGACAGAATAATCAAAAATGGTGGCAAGGGAGTGTCTCAGGGTGCAAGGAGCCGGGCAGCACCTGCGCACGTGCCCTGGGGTGGAGCCTCCCTAATGTTGACGTCCAGCTCCCCAGTCACTACCTGTGCCCTTTCTCGGGCCTCCCGCCTCTGGTCTCTCAGTGCCTTCCAGGTACTGTGGAATAGCTGGGTGGGGGGTGGCCACACCTGTAATCCCAGCTACTCGGGAGGCTGAGGCAGGAGGATTGAAAATTGGAGGCCAGTTTGGGCAACTTAGCAAGATTATCTGAAAATAAAAAAATTGAAAAAGAAGTGGGGATGTAGCTTAGTAGTAGAGTGTTTGATTAGCATTGGAAGGATGTGGGTTTGACCATAAGAGAGAGGGAGAGAGAGAAAGAAGGAAGGAAGGAAGGGAGAAAGAAAGGAAGTAAGGAAAGAAGGAAGGAGGAAGAGGAACAAGAGAGAAAGGAAGGAGGGAGGGAGGAAGGGAAAGAAAGACAGGGTGGAGATAAAGCAAGAGCAGACAGCTACAGACACCCGGGAGCTGCGTGGATGGGGCCGTGGCCCAGGGTGCGAGGCACTGGGTTCATCCTCACCCCACCCTCGGGCATAGGCCTTGCTCCTGGCTCACCTAGGAAACTGGAGCCCCCAGAAGACCCCATGCGCCCTCACCACAGCCGCGGCGGCTGCACCTGCTGCCTGCCCCTGTGGCCCCCGCCACGGCCTGGCTCCTGGAGCAGCTAAAGGAGCCAGCACTTTCCCGCTTGAGGGGACGGCCCTGGCCAAGGTCACCTGCGTCTCCAAGCTGCACACGGCCCAGCCCCAGCGCCCGTGACCTGGCCCCTGAGCAAGGGCCCTGCGTCCCCTGGCCCCACGTCCAGCTCCCCCGCAGTGACTTCTGTGCCTGCATTACCTGTGGCGTTGCCCAGGATGGCCTGCAGACTGAGGACCTGCGCCAGGAGGATTCCGAAGATGACGAACACCTCAGTCATCATCCCCCGTGCCCCTCGCAGGTCCTTGGGGGCCAGCTCGCCCAGGTACACGGGGAGGGCGCTGTAGGCCACGCCTGGGGCAGCGGAGGGAAAGGAGGGCTGGCCGAGCGCTGCAGGAGCCAGTGCCTACGGATTCAGTGCCAGTCCCAAGCCCAGCTTCTCGGGGTGTCAGCCCCTCTGTGGCTGAGCGAAGTGGGTTGTTCTCGACCCTTTAGGTGGGACTTGTACCGAACGCCCCGTGGGGACATGGCCGGGGTGGGACGAGAATACCTTTCCTTCCTAGCGGCTGGCCTGGATATCTGCCGGGGAGGACTCCGGACTTCTCTGCGTCCCCAGGGCTTAAAGCAGGAGCTAGCCTTGGGGGGGCCTTAGAGTTATCGCTTTGACTTTCTGATGTTTCTAAACATGGGTAACTTATATAGCTTTTTTTCCTTTTGCAGGGGCCGGGGGGCGGAGGGCAGGGTCTCACTATGTAGTGCAGCCTGGCCTTGAACTCACTATGCATCCTAGGTTGGCCTCATACTCACAGCAATCCTCCTGCCTCAGCCTCGAGTGTGCTGGGATTACAGGCGTGCTGCACCAAGGGGTGTGCACCTGGCTAGCTATTTTTGTGTTGTTTTTTAAATAGAAGGAACCACAAAAAAGCTCTGCTCACCTGCTGACCAAGACCCAAATTCTGTATTGCTTTTGCCCAAAGCTCCTAATTCTCAGTCTAAATGCTACAGCCTCCTCAGAAGATGCCTGGTAAAACCTTACGGGTTTTCTGTACCTAACAGTAAAAGTGTGTTTGTGAAGAGATTTCTTTAGATGAAGGGAAGGGGCTAGAAAGGACGAGGTTTTCAAGGCCCCAGGACAGATTGAGGAGGAGGAGAAGAAATCGGCAGGCAGAGACCTAGCGCTCTCAGAGCCCTGGGCATCCGGGCACTGAGGCAGGCGGAGCTTCTGCGGCCCCAGGTACCCGCACAGATTCCCGCCAGCACCCGGGAGATGATGATCAGCTCAAAAGCCCGGGCCACGCTGCTGACGCCCATCAGGATGGCGGGACGATGGCGAAGACGTTGTTGACCAGCAGGGCTCTCTTTCTGCGAGACATCGGCGGGGGCGGCGTGTGTGTGTGTGTGTGTGTGTGTGTATGTGTGAAGTGGAGCTCAGCAGCGAGAAGGAGGCTCCCCCTCCTGCCCCAGCTCCGGACCCCGCGCGCCTCAAGCGCCCCCGACCCAGCGCCCCTGCGCCCGGCCTCCGCCCGGACCGTGGCCGCGCCAGCGCGCAAAGTCCGGGCCTGAGCCCGGTACGGGCGCAGCGTTCCCGCCCCCAGCCAGCCGCACCGCAGAGGGTGCGGCTGTGTCCGACTTGGGTCGGACTACGATTGTCGGGGTCACAGCGGCCCCCACGGGCACCATTGCCCAGACATGTGGGGGTCCCTGACAGTTGAGCAGCACTGGAATTACCTGCCGCAGCGATCCACCAGCAGGCCGACCCCCAGGGACCCCAGCAGGCCGCCCGGGGGGACATGGACACCGTGCAGGACCACAGCAGCAGCAGCGAGGTCCCATCCAGGGGTGCTCCGTGGCGCTTGAAGTAGGTTTGGTTGTAAAATGACTTTAAGACCTAGAAAGCACAGCCCCACCCACAGCCTGGACTCTTCTGGGACTCTAGGGCCGGTGACGCAGTCATTGCGTGGACAGATGCTTCTGCTGCAGCCACAGGACGCAGTTGAACCCGCCGATTCTCTGCTGGTACCCGAGGATGCAATAATCTACTCTGTGGTAGCGGAGAGGGAAAACCAGACTGCCCAAGAAATTGTAAAAATTCATTAATGCAGGGGTGTGCCTGTAGCCCCAGCACGCTGGGAGGCTGAGGCAGAAGGATTCAAAAGTTTAGCCTGGGTGATTTAGCAATTTAGCTATTGCTGATCTCTCAGAGGGGAGAGGGGCTGGGGATGTAGCTCAGTGAAATGGCCCTGGGTTCATCCCCCAGGACCACAAACAAATGCAAAATAAAAAATTAACATCCAATGTAAAAATTCATTTTTGGAGCCTTACTCTGCCAAAGGTAACATAGGAAATGTTCATACTAACTGTGTGACTTTGATTTTTTTTGTTTTTTTTTTTTTAATTTTTTGAGACAGGGTCTTGCTATGTAGTTCAGGCTGGCATTGCACTCACTGTGTATCTCAGGCTGGCCTGGAACTCGCAGCAGTCCTCCTGCCTCAGCCTCCCAAGTGCTGGGACTACAGGTGTGCACCACCATGCCCAGCCTAACTGTGCAGCTCTGGGGAAATTACATAACTTTTCAAAGTCAGTTCTGGAAAGCGTACAGGTCTCATGGGGAATCTGGGCGCTGTGGGTGCGATGGAGTCAGGGTACATTGCTTGACTTAGAATCGACGTCCCAGGGAGTGGCACCGCCCAGGGGTCCGTGCTGGCCTGGGCTGTGTGAGGCTGTGGGTTAGGTCTCCAGCACCACCAAGCAAAGCAGACCACAGGCAAAACCAAAAGCTGCTCCAGACAGGGCAGTGCTTCCGAGTGTGCAGATACACGTGATTGGTGTGCACGTGTGGGTGTGCACATGTTAGTGTAGGTATGTAAGCATATGAATACATGCCAGGAACAATGTTACAGCCCCTCCTGCAAAGCGTTGTGTGTAATTTAACCCTACCAATTATCTTTGAGATCGGGTCTCACTAGACTGGCCTTGACCTCACCATCCTCCTGCCTCAGCCTCTTGAGTAGCTGAGATTATAGGTACATTGCATTCTTTTTTTTTCACTGTATCAGGAACTGAGCCCAGGGCCTTCACACTGCCCTACACTCCCAGCCCTTATTTATTTATTTATTTATTTATTTATTTATTTATTTATTCATTCATTCATTCATTCATTCATTCATCTTTTAGTTTTTTGAGACAAGTTCTTGCTGTGTAGTCTGGGGTGATCTTGAACTCACTATATAGTTCAGGCTAGCCTCGAACTCATAGCAGTCCTCCTGCCTTAGCTTCCCAAGTGCTGGGATTACAGGCCTGTGCCACCACACTTGCATTATTTATATATTTTTGAGGCAAAGTCTCATTAAGTCTTTAAGTGCCCCAGGCTGGACTTACACCTGCAGTCTTCCTGCCTCAGCCTCCCAGGGTGCTGGAATACAGGTGTACACCACTACACCACTGATTTTCTTTTTGGTATCTGGAATCGAACTCAGCACCTTGTGCTTGCCAGGTAGGTGTTTGTGCTACTGAGCTGTATCCCTGGCCCTGGCTATTGATTTTAAAAATCAATCCTGCAGAGCTCACATCCTGGTGAATGGTGACTCTACCTGCTCTGCCCACGTGTGGGCTTCTGTCCCTTTGTCTCCTCAAGGACCTCTTTCCTGCATCTGTCTGTCTGTCTGTCTGAGTCATTGGTCTTCCCCTCTCTGCCCATCCCTCATCAGTATGCAGTATGCTTCGCCTCCTCCTTGAGGCTTCACTGCCTAGTTTTCCAGGACAACAGAATCCTTCAAAAATGTGTCTGCCTCTCGGTCTCTGCTCTTCTCTTGCTTTTTTTTTTTTTTTAAATTTTTTGAGACAGGGTCTTACTTATGGAGGCCAGGTTGGCCTCAAACTTGTAGCAATCCTCCTGCCTCAGCCTCCTGAGTTCTGGGATTACGGGCAAGAGCCACCACGCCATTCTCTCTAGTGCCCAATCAAACTTTCATCTCCTGCTCTCGGCTGGACTTACACTTGCAGTCTTCCTGCCTCAGCCTCCCAGGGTGGCAAGGGTGGTCACGCCCTCCACAAGGGACCACAGCTCAGTGTCCACTGCTTCCCCTCACCCCAATCTCACTCCCAAGTCTCCTTGGGGTTCCACCTTGGGCCCCTTCTCTCTGCCATCAGCAGGTGGCCGTGTCCAGCTGAGGTCACGGGCTTGAACCCCAAAGAGCCAGGCAGTGAGTGCAGGCCCCTGGTCTCCACGTGGGCCCCGGGGAAGCGGGCAGCCCCTCCCATGGCCCACCGTGCCCACCTGGTGTGGTGTGTTCACCACGGAGATGTTGTAGCCGTACTGGAAGGCGGAGCCCGGGCCCGCACTCAGGATGGCCAGCGCCAGGGTAGGCGTGAGCTGCAGCGGAGAGGGCAGGGCTGGGGCTCTGTGGGGTCACCAGGCCTCCACCTCCTGCCCCCTCCGGAAGTGTGCTGCCAGGAAAGGCGGAGGGAAGTGGCCGGGCTGGGCCACCAGGGCGCGCCGGGGCCTCGTTCCCAGCCTCCTGGTGCTTTTCCCTCTTGGGAACGTATTTGAGCGACTGCGCCCTGCCCTGCACTAGGCCTGGGGTGACGCGGGCGGTGGCGGGCGCTTTAGGGACACAAAGTGGACACACAGACGTGTAACCCCAACAGTGGCAGTGCCTGGAGACAGGGTGACAGGCGATGGACAGAAGCCAGCAGGGTTGAGGGTCCTTGTCAGCGGGGGATAGCAGGCGGCTTGGGAAGGACCCGTCCGGACAGAGCCCTGGCTCCTGAGCCATTCTGAGGAACCGGGGCCAGGTTTCCACGGCTGTCCCGACACCCCGAGTGGCTCAGGGGCAAAGCCTGAGGTGCGGTAGTGGGCAGGCTGTGGGTGCCTCCCAGAGGGCCCCCCGAGGCCAGCTGTCTGCCCTCACCTCCACCCCACCCCACTGTGCCCGGAGCAATGCCCACAGCCTGAGCCCAGGGCCAGCCGGAGAGAGGGGACAGGATGTGGATGTTCTTCAGAGGACACCTCCCTGTCACCCTCCAGGGCCTTGGGAAGGTGAGGGGCGCACGCCCAGCGCCAGGGGTCTCCCCAGCCATCACAGGGAGGAGCGGGATGGCTCTTCCCCTCTGCGCCCCGGGGCAGGTGGCCCAGTCCCACTCCGTGGAACTAACCCTGGGCCTGCAGGCCCCACGCAGGGAGGGAAAGGGGCCCTGGCAGGCCCTGCCTCTTAGAGGGGCGCTTACCCGCTCCCTGGGAGGGCTGGCCCCAGGGGTCCCCGTCCTGCTGTCCTCCACCATCCTGCGGGAGCGCCTGCTCCCCGATGCCAGCGCGGGCTGCAGCAGTGCCTGGCGATCCTGCTGGGTCTCCCCGCCCGCTTGCCCTATGGACCGAGCCGGCTCTCAGGCTGATAAGATACGGGTGATGTTCAGCAGTGCCACTCACGCACCGCGTGAATTTTATCTTTGCATCCACCAAGCCCCTGGCCAGAAGCTCCACAGTCACTGCCGCTGGTCCCATAAATGAAGAGCTCCGGCAACCCAGGCGGGACGTGGCCTGGACCCGGGATGGTTCCCTTGTGTTATCACTCTGTGCGGTTTCCTCGAATGCCCTGGGGCTGATTGTCCATTCGTGTGTCTGATACTGGGCCTTGAACTCTGGAGCGCTCTACCCCTGAACTCCACACCCAGCCCTTTGTATTTTTTATTCTGAGACAGTGTCTCACTAAGTATAGAGAGCCCTTCCCAGTCCTCATGGAGGCCCCGGAAGTTTGTATTTGTAATCCCATGAAAAGTTACTGGAATTCTAGTGAGTTGATTCCAGTCTACCATTTCCAGTGCAACCCATGGTGAGAATAAAGTCACTAAGGCATGTTTGTAGTTGTAGGGAGTTAAGGGGTCCTAAGTCCAGCCCCAACGATGGCCATCTGGAACAAAGGCCTCGATCCAGGGCTGAACACGGGTTTTATTTATTCATGAAGAAGGGAGCGGCTTGAGGATGAGTGACTGCGAGAACCCTGGGAAGGTGAGTGCCAGGAGCGGGGCTAGGTAGGAGGCCTGCAATCACCTTTGCAATGCAGAGAGAAGGATATGCAGAAGAGTAATCTGCATAACACAACTGAGATAATAGCTAATGTTCTGGGGTCAGTGTTTCAGCTGTGATGTGTAATGTTTGAAGCCCCAGGAAGTCATAGCCTCTATCTAAAGGCTGGGTCCCAGCCCACAGCGTGGAGCACCGGCTCACACATCCTGCCTCATCCTGGCTTACTTGTGGGAACAACAGGGGTCCGGGGAAACACGCCTGCCATCTCCAAAGACTACCATCAGCACCTAGGCTAAACTGGTATGCATTGCTTAAAGCCAATCGAGGGGATAAGGAAAAGTCCTAGCCCTCTCTGTATATAGCTATACATGGAAATAGGGTCAGGCTCAGCCAAAATGGAGGCAATTGCTCCTCTTCCAAGGAGAGTCGCCTAGGTGGTCCTCTGCAACTAAGTTTCCCAGGCAGGACTTGAAATCCTCCTGCCTCAGCTTCCAGAGTGCTGGGATCATAGGCATACACCACTGGTACCTGGCTTGAAACACTTTTTTAAAGAAGGCAACTTTATTACTGTTCATCACACCCCACAGTGTGGCTGTGGCTTGGCGCTGTGGTGTTGCCCAGCGGCCCGTGTGTTCAGAGCTTTGGTGCTGGTGCAAGGGGCTTTGCACCTTTAGGAGGTGGCCCAGTGGGAGGTTTCCCGCCACTGGGGTGTGGTTGAGGAGGGCAGAGGGACACTGGCCTCTTCCTTTTTTTGGGAGGTGAATGGGCCTCCTCTGTCACATGCTGCGCTCTGCTGGGCTGTCCCTGCACAGGCTTCAGAGCAGCAGGGCCCACCTACCATGGACTGGAGTCTCCGTAACCGTGAGCCAAAGTCAACCTTTTCTCTTGTTTCATTAATTAGCTCAGGTATGTTGTTACAATAAGGAAAACTGATACAAATATTAAATAAGTCAATAAGTTATTGAACAAAGACACCCCTGTTAGAATCACCCAGTCTGGAAAACAGAGCAGGAAACGGCTGAATAGTCATGATGTGCCAGGTGCTGCTTCATAGGATCACTGTGAAAATTATGAGCTGTGATCAAAATGCGGTAAATGCTTAAAAAATTTAAACTGGTCATGGTGGTGCACACACCTGTAATCCCAGTCCTTGGGAGGCTGAGGCAGGAAGATTCACAGGAGCTCAAACTAGCCTGGGCTACATAGAGAGTTCAAGACCAGCCTGAATTACATAGTGAGACCCTGTCCCAAAGAAACCGAAAAAGGTTTTGTTATTGCAGTAAAGAACACATAGCCACGAGTCCCTGTCAAAATCCACCTGCTTCAGAAACCCTTATCCCATCTTTCTTGCCACTTTCTGATGCAGCTCTGGAAGTGCTCTTTCCTGAGTGTCTTTCTTTAGTTGTGTTGTTATGGCTGCCACCAGGTCCTGAATCAACTCCAAGCGTTTCCCTTCTGCAGTCATTTTGACTTTGGGGAAGGGCCAGAAGTCACACTGTGCCAGATCCATGAATGAGGTGGATGAGGACGCGGCGTGATATCTTTACAACCCGGCCTTTCCTTCGGATGGTGCCTGGCAGCAGCGTGCCCTGTATTTTTTTTATCACACCTCGTAGAGATACTTGCATGTGGAAAAAATGGAAACAACTCCCCTGTCCATCATGAATGAATAAATAAAACGATAACGTGTCTAAGAAATTTAAACACCCACGCTACGTTTTGATTATACTATGTCCGTACCACCCCAAAAGCGCCCGATCTCGTCTGATCTCAGAAGCTGAGCAAGGTTGAGCCTGGTCACTACTTGGGTGGGAGACATCCAGGCTGTATTTTGATCACACTGCCTACGCCCAGGTTCCAGGGCTTAGACTCAGGCACCTTTGAAAAGCCGTTATTCTACTGACCACAGTCACCTGTGCGTTTGTTACTAGAGAAGCTCAGATGTGGGTCGCTGATGACCAGCCAGTTCTGTGTCTTTGGGCTGGGTCGAAGCGCCGTGCCTAGCGCCTGGACGGACACCACGTGTCCCCTACCTTTCCGAGTCCCCACAACGGTCCAGGTGACGGGGAGACCATGCTCCTTCCTGTGGCTGTTTCTGCTTAGCACATCCTTGTCCCGGGTCTCAGGTCCTTTGAGATCCCAGCGGGGCTGTCGCCCCCGAAGCCAGTGCACTGGGGCTTGGCGGATGGGAGCTACAGGTGCAGCACAGGCCCTGGGTCCTCCAGCTCCGGGGAGCTCTGTGCAGTCAGTGCGGGTTACAGACCCGAGGAGGGCTTATTAGGGAGATTAGCTCGTGCAGCTGCGGGGGCTGAGAAGTCCCATCACAGGCCACCTGCAAGGCGAGGCTCCCGGGCTCCCGGGAATGCCCCTCAGTCCAAGTGTAAAGGCGCCAGGCTCCTGGAAGCTGCCGGTGTAAGCGCTGGGGTGCCAGGGCCGAGAGTCTGGAGTTATGACAGTCATGAGGAGTGTGTCTGTGTCACGGGCCCGGCAGCGGAGGGGAGGAGAGCGGCTGGGGCAACTCCTTTGCTGTCCGCTCCATCCGGGCCCCCAGCTGGCGGAAGGGTCCCGCCCACACTGAGGACACGCTGTCCCCAGATCACGGGCCCACGCGTGTTCCTGACCGTGGAGCCGCTGCTCGGCGCCAGTGGCGCTGGCTGTGATGTTCACGGCTGCCTGAGCGCACCTCCTGACTCTCCGAGCGCCTTCCTGCCTGTGCCCCGCTTCTCGTGCCCGCCCTGGGTGCCCTGACTCAGCGCCCGCAGCCTCTGTGTCCTGACCCGCGCGCTGGCTGGCTACCCTCCTGGCATACGTGGGTAGAGGTCACTCGCTGTGTTTTACGTGTGGGTTTATTTGTCTTCCAGGCGAATGCTCGTTCCCAAGCACCTATGAATGGCTAAGAGTACTTAACACATAGTGCTGTCGGTTCTCACCACGGCGCTGGGGGCGTGGCTCAGGCACAGAACAGCTAAGTGACCTGTCCATGTTGCACAGCTGAGAGGTGAGTGGCGGAAGCCAGGTCTGCATCCCGGGGTGGACAGCGAGACACTAGAATCCCGTCCCGAGTGTGCCCTGAGATCTGGGTGCTCCCATTAATGTGAGCGGCACCACGGCCCCCTGGCCCAGGAGTGGGACCTTGCTGCTCCTCAGCGTGGGAGCCCCCTTCCCAGCTGTTCTGGCCGCTGCCGCCCTAACCTCTCGGAGAAGCGGGCACATCCTGCCGCAGACATCTGCAGCTTCCTCCTCCAGGCCTCCAGGCTTTGCCATTGCTGTACATGTCCTCTTTTTTGGGTGTTTTTTAAGATAGGGTCTCGCTATGTATTGAACTAACTATGTAGCTCAGGCTGGTCTCAAGCTCAAGGTGATCCTCCTGCCTCAGCCTGAGATGACAAGTGTGTGCCACCACATCCCGCTGTGCCTGCCCGCTTCACCCATGCTCCCTGCAGTGCTCATACGCACACGCCCCTTTCCTCTGATCTCTGCCATATTGAACACAGGGGCCTGTCCCCCAACCCTGGCCTTGCTGCTGGGACCCTTGATGTTCTCCACCCCATGATACCCGTGCCCTGCGACCTTGCAGGTGCCAGCTTTGCAGGACTCTGTGCTCCCTCTCTGCCTTCCTCTCTCAGGGAGGGCCGCGTGTATCTCGGAGCAGGGCTGCCCCTCCCACCCCAGCCGCTCAACAGCCCCGTGTGTCTCCGCCAACGTGGTCAGATCCGTTTTATTGACTTACAGACACAGCTCCATTTCCACTCAGCTCAGGCGCTATCTCCCGGGCACTGGTCCCCAGCTTTCTCTGTGCCATATTCCTGGCACCCCACTTTCCCAGACGGGCATTTCCACAATGGGGCTCGGGTCAAAGCCTGAATTTAACTCTGACCAAAAGCCAGGGCCCCAAGGGGCCCCAGGAGGCTCACAGGGGCCACAGAGAAGGGCCGGTTTCTCTGGTGAAGTTGAATTCCTCCCCTCTGGCCCTGCGGTAGCTGCTTTGGTTAGAAAATCTGTCCCCGGCTGCCCCATCAAAGCGGCTGTCCTGGGCTCCGGGCTGGCGGCTGGCCAGGCTGCAGGGCACAGCGGGCACCGAGGGCAGCACAGAAGCTGGCCACACAGGCCCCGCTGGGCAGGGCGGTCGGCCACGCAGCCTGCATCCCAGCCCACGCACATCTCTGGTCTGGCTGTCACAGAAAACCGGAAGTCAGGAAGCGAATCCCAGGAAAAATCGTGGGCCGACCAGGAACCAGGCTCCTCCCGGGCTCCGTCACTGCATGGAGGCGGCCGGCGGGAGGTCGGCCAGCTCCGCCTTGTCGTCGTGGAAGTTGGACACCTTGTTCATCTTGGCGAAGGTGTGGTTGATCTCGACGAAGGTCCTGTTCTTGGTCTCGGGGATGACCAGGAAGATGTAGATGGTGGTGAGCAGGCAGATCACCGCGAAGATGATGAAGCTGTAGGGCCCGAGGCCCTCCTGCGGGGCGGGGAGCGGCGGTGAGCGCGGCCCCGCGGCCGGGGACAGAGCGGAGAAGCCTCGGGCTGGGCCCCGCTCACCTGGATGAAGGGGAAGATGAGGCCCACGGCGAAGTTGGACAGCCAGTGCACGGTGCCTCCGACCATGAAGGCGGCCGCCCGCGAGGACTGCAGGAAGATCTCGGTGACGAGCAGCGCGGGGATGGGGCCTGCGGGGAGGAGCGGGGAGCGGTTGGTGACTCCCTGCGGGTGGCCAGGCCAGGTCCTCCGGCTGTGCACCTCAGTGACCAGGGGGATCGGGGTGCAGGGGCTGGCGGAAGGGCAGTGGCAGTTCTTGGGGATGTCTGGGGGTGTGGGGCATCTGTCTAGCACAGTGGCTGCCGTCCTGTCACCCTGCCCATCCCTCAGCTGGCAGGCTCCAGTCCACATGGCGTATTTCCTGTTTGCACTAATTATGCCCCTCCTGGCCCTGGTGCAAGCGGGGGGAGGGGACAGGCCACCGCAAGGACGTGTGTTCCTCCCCAGAGCCAGCACAGGCCGCTGAAACGCTGAAGCCAGCCCCGGGTCACGCACTGGGCCCGATGGCATGTCCTATGACGTAGACGATGATGCATGCGATGCTGAGGTAGGGCATCCAGGACAGCTGGTCCTGTGGGGTCGGGGGGAAGCAGCTGTCAGCACCTCGCAAAGAAAGACAAGGTAGGAAGCCAGGTGTGGTGGCGTACGCTTGTGACCCCAGCAAACTGGGGGCTGAGGCAGGAGAATCGAGTGTGACCCAATTGCTTGTGGCCCCAGCAAACCGGAGTTCGAGGTCAGCCTGAACTACATAGCAGGACGTTGTCTCAAAAAAAACAACAACAAAAAAACACAAAAGCCAGCAGGAGTGGGGACTTCAGGAGCCTCGGTCCCCGGAGGGCCAGGTGCTGTGCCAGAAGCAGGGCCTGGCTCCTGCTCCCCAATCATGGGTACCACTTCCACCAGCCCTGGGGAGGCATCTGAGAGGGGGCTGTGGGCCACTAGGTGGGAGAGGATGGAACCAGGGTCCCCACTCATCGGATAGGTTGCATCTGTGCTGTTGTGCCCTGTCCTCTCCATACGTGAGGGTGGCCTGGGGTCCCTTGCAGGTGGGGCCGCCTGGCTCCTGTCGCTCCTCACCTGCAGTGCCAGGGCCACCGTGAGCACCACGCAGGCCAAGAGGCAGCTGGAGAAGCCGAGGAGCAGCAGCAGGCGCCGGCCTAAGAGCTCCACCACGAACACCTGGGCGATGAGGAGGCGGGGAGGAGGCAGAGGAGGAGGACGGGCGGGGGGATCACACAGGGCTCAGGAGCCAGCGTCCGGGGCCCGCAGGGGCCACAGTGCCTGGCCTGGGCATTCGCATCAAGGCAGAGCCCCACCCTCTGAGGGTCCTGAGGGCCATGTGTCTACCCATGGGTGTGCATGAGAATGCACGCTCATTGCACACTTGTGCACAAACCACGCAGCATTCCAGGACTCCAGCTGCCCACGCTTGAATGAAATTAGGGCTCTCTAACCCTGTAGCCCTAAACCTAAGGGTTCCCAGAGCACTGCACGCAGATACCCGGATGCTCTGGGCCTCCCCACACGGAGGGCTGGCTCCCATCGGAGCTCTAGGCAGTGTCCCCGGGACTCCCACGCCCAGGGTCCCCTCAGTCCCGGCCTTCGAGGCCTGGTACAGCTCGGCAGCCCGGTGCTGAGGTCAGAGCAGAGCCACCTCACAGGGTGAGGCCCGGGCTGCCATCCCCAGGGGACCACAGGTGCTCCCCACTGGCTGCAGAGCTGGGAGGCTGGGGTGTGAGGGTCCTCGCCAGGCGTTGCCACCTCAGATCCCGGGCCCGGCGGGCCGGGGCACTCACGGTGCAGATGGTCATGAACACATTGACGGCCCCCGTGCCGACCGTCGCATACTGGACGTCGTCGGCCTTGACTCCAGCGCTCAGGTAGATCTGGTCTGCGTAGTAGTAGATCTGGGAAGCAATCGCCAGGGCTGGCAGAGGGCTCAGGGACAGAGAGGGGACTGTCCCCCGCACAGGGCCGCCGCGGGCCACCCCGTACCGCGTTCACTCCCGACAGCTGCTGGCCGCCCATGAGGACCACGATGGAGATGAGTTGCCAACGCAGGGAGCGCAGTTGGAACAGCTTCCGCACGGAGATGGAGCCGGCCGCCTTCTCGGCCTGGTCCTCCTGCCGGATCTCCTCCATGTCCTCCGTTACATTGTCCCAGCCACGCAGCCTCTGCAGTGCTGCGGGGGCCATGAGTGAGCAGAGGGCATCGGCCCGGGCTGTGGGGGAGCAAGGAGCCAGGGCCACCACCTCCCCGGGCCAGCGCACCTTTCCTGGCAGCGTCTTCATCCCGCTTCTGAATCAGCAGGTACCTCGGGCTCTCAGGGAAGAAGGGCAGCAGGAGCAGCTCCAGTGCCGCGGGGACCCCGGTCAGCCCCAGGAGGATGGGCCAGCCTGCAAGCAAGGGGGTGTCACAGAGGCCACCACCAGCCCGGCCCAGGACACAGGCCCCAGGAGGGCTGAGACTGCTCTCAGCGGTTATTTAGCTAAGGGGTGACAGGCCAGGGGACACCTACTGACCGGCAAAAGGAAAAAGCCCATGAGAACGTAGAAACAAGGGAGGCCTCCACCTGTCGCCCAGGGTCCTCAGGGCACAGCTGGCAGGAGCCAGCGAGCCGGCACACTCCGGCTAACCTGGCCGCCCCACCCCAAGCGCATGCTCAGAGAAGCTTGTGCCTGGGCTATCAGGACAGCTGAGATGGAAACAGTCAGAACGTCCTTAACGTCCTGCGCGGGGTGGACACACCGGCTGTGGCGTGTGCAGGAAGGGGAATTCCACACTGCGATGTCAGCGAGGGCAGCTGCCACACCGGCAGACGCGTCTGCATCTCCCCAGTCTCCTCCGGGTCGGGATCAGGGAGATGTTACATTAACCCCATCGTCACCAAGGTGGGGAAACCAAGGCACAAGCCAGGACGCGGTGGCTGTGGATGTCACAGAGTGGCGCCTCGGGGAGGGGAGGGCGTGGCTGAGGGCTCACGGCTGGCTGTGGGGGTGCAGAGGGCTCTTTCTGGACAGGCCGTGGTCACGGCGGGGGGGGGGGAGGGTGGTGCTTCTGTTTCCCTTTTTGTGCCTTTCTCCTCCTCCTGCTTCTCTCCCGTGTGTGTCTGTTGTGGAGCACACCCGCCATGGTTCGCGATGCAAACGGCCACATCAGCGAGGAGCAGTTAGGGCCCCTTCTCGGGGGGCCGTGTCCACAGCTCACCTGCCTTTCGTCCTGGGCCCACAGCACATGGCCCTCATGGGCATCTCTGTGCCAGCCACTGCCCCGGCTGACCATCAGGGATCCACTCTCTTCCCAGCATCCTTAGCGCGAGGGATGGAGCGTGCTCAGCGCCGCTTTACCCACGGAGACAGGGTGGCGCGGTGCGGGGATTCGGTCCCTCCTGAGCCCGCTTGGTCATTTGGGAGCAAAGCTGAGACTCAGGCCCAGACAGACTGAGCCGAATGCTCCTAACTGTGTGACCCACCCGCTTTGCCTCCAAGTTAAGGCGGTCAGGCCTGCCCCAAGCGCCGAAGATGCTTCTGGTCTCTGACAGCAGGTCCCACCTACTGGAGTGCCCTTGTTTAGACGCTGTGATGGTTTAGAGTTCCCCAAAGCCTCCTGTGCCGGGGATTTGGGGACGTGGCAGGGTTATGGGCTTCGGCCGGCTTGCTGATAGGGGGTGGGTCTGTCCCCTCCCCGCCTTCGCCCTTCTCTCCCTGTCTCTCCTCTGCCCAGGCCCCGGCCAGCACTGTCCTCTGTGTGTCTGTCACTCACGTCCTGCTGGCTGGGAGCCCTGTGCATGGGCTCTGGGTCCCACGCCCGAGGCGGCTGGGATCCTGTGGGCGTGGTCAGCCCCAGGCCCACACTGCTGGATTTAGATCCTAAGTCGACCTTGGACACAGTGCCCAGCTTCGGTCTCTGCACTGGCAAAATGGGAGTAAGGGCAGCAGGAGCTTTTCCGGACAGTCTGAGGAGTAAAGACTGCTACAGAGGACTGTGCTCCTGGATGCTGGAAGCACGTTCTTGGCTCTGACTGGATTGATGCTGGTGTCCCTTTCAGAGGTTTGAGACTCACGGCGGAGAAGGCAGGTGGCACAGAAACAATGCCAGTCACAGGTTCCCGTACCCCGCCCGTGGGCCGGGTCGTCCTGACTCAGCCCCCGTCTCCGGTCTGTGAAATGGGACTATCACAGAGCGCCGGGCGGCAGCACCGCTGGGGAGCCCTGACCCAGTGAAGGCACACAGGTGCCCGAGGACAGACACAGCAGCCCAGGGGAAGTCGGTCCTGCCTGGCACTTGAGCCCATCAATCTGTCACCACGCTCTGATTCGGGGCCTGGGGTGGGCCAAACAGCACCCCAACACTGCGGCTTGCATCACACTGGGGCTCCAGGACAGCCAGGGGCCAGAGAGAAAAGACCAGCCCCAGGGCCGGGCTGGGGAGACCTGGGGGTGCCGAGGGTCCACGACTCACCATTCTCGGTCGCCAGGGCACTCCGAAGACCAAGCAGCTGGGCCACCAGGATGCCGATGGTGATGAACAGCTGGGGCACCACCCCGATGGCCCCTCGCAGGTGTTTCGGGGCCAGCTCCCCTAAGTACATGGGGACCACATTGGAAGACACACCTGTGGGGGGACGCAGTGAGCAAGGTCAGTGTGGAGGGGGGAAGTCTTCAAAGAATCGCTCGGCAATCACCTCATTTGAGTCAGAACTTCCTCCAAAAGTAAGTGGAGAAAGAAAATGCCTTTTTAATTTTTTGAGAGAGGGCCGCACTATGTGGTTCAGTTTGGCTTTCTTGCCTTGAACTCACTATGTAGCCCAGGCTGGCCTCACACTCTTGGTGATCCTCCTGCCTCAGCCTGCTCAGTGCTAGGATTCCAGGCATGCACCGCTTTTAATTCTTAGTCCCTTAGACTTTAAGGAGAGAGAAATCAGACCAGGGAAGCTTCTGACTGGGAGCTCTTGTTCCTCCCTGGAGTTGCCTGGGGCACAGTTCCCGTCAGATGTCTGGGTCCAAGAGAGGCCACATGTAGCTGGACACTCCTGTGTTTGGGAGTGGTGCATCCCCGGATCCACGGTGTCAGAGACCACAGCCTCAAGCCGCCGTTATCGGTCCACACTAACACTCACTCTGGCAGGGCAGATGTTGCGGATCATCTGCATTTTGTGGGGCACCTGCGCTACTTCTGCGCCCCCTCTCTCGGGACGCTCCAACTTCCCCCTGCAGGACAGAGGGGTCTAAGGACAGGCTTGGGGAGCACCTGGAAGCGCAGCTCACCGTGGAGCCCAGGCTGGCCTCCAGCTCTGCCCCTCAGCAGCTGCACACACAGGAATTCGAAAGCCATCGGAAAGCACAGGGCTGGCAGCGGGATTTATTCTTGTATTAGCTCGTTTCTCAAACATTATGAGCGTAACTCATAGAGAAAACTATAGAAATACAGGCAGCGCCAAAACCTGGTTCTCCTGCGCTTGCTCCGATACATGACTGAAGCAAAAGTTTCAAGAGACAGTCCTGTCACCAGCCACTAATTGGTCCTGACCTGTACTTCAGGAAAGACTGATATTGAGATAAAGGATCGGATCAGACAGACCCTTCTGAGCTCCAGATTCTGCATCTGTGTGTTTCCAAGAACAGCTTCTTGGCTGGGTGTGGTGGTGCATGCCTGTAATCTCAGCACTGGGGAAGCTGAGGCAGGAGGATCATCTTGAGTCCAAGGCCAGTTTGGGCTACCCGGTGAGTTCAAGGCCCGCCTGAACTACATAGTAAGACCCTGTCTCAAAAAACAAACAAAGAAAATCAGCTTTCTTGGCCTGGGGTGCAGCTCCTAGCATGTGCAAGACCATAGCGAAGGTGCCCACTCCCTACCTGCGGGGACCCCACAGGGGCTCAAGCGCCTTTTCCAGGGAAGAGGTGCAGGGTGATCTTGAATGTGCTTATTATGCCAGACAGCCCGGGCTTGCTGGACCCGGGAGCTGGTCCTCCCTCCTTCTTGAGGGTCCCAAGTAGCCAACTGGCAAGGCCTGGGGGCGTCACCTACCTGCACAGATGCCCACCAGGAGTCTGGAAATTATGATGAGCTCGAAGGACTTGGCAACCTTGCTGCACCCCATCAAGATCGCGGGCACAATGGAAAAGATGTTGTTGAACAGCAGGGCGCCTTTCCTGTCCAGAAAAACAGTAAGTGGTTTGGCTTAAGAATTCACTCACTCACTCATTCATTCATTCACTCAACAAACGCTCCCTGGTGTCTACACTGTGGCTTCACCCCAGTGACAGCTGTCTGGGCCCAGAGACTGGTAGAGGTGACGGGCACACCCCCCGGGTGAGGAGGTTCTCAGTGTAGCAGCACCATGCAGGGCCATCGGGGTGATGACGGGGAAAGGCCCCTTATTAAAATATGGTAAAGGGCTTTTAAAATCATGTGTGACCACAGTGTAACCTTGGACCCCAAACTGAGTAAGGGTATTAGAAGAAAAGTACAGGCTGCCCTCACTGTTATCAACACAGCTGCAAAAATCCTAAGTGAGCCGGACGTGGTGGCGCACGCCTGTAATCCCAGTACTCGGGAGGCTGAGGCAGGAGGAGCGTTGCAAGTTCGAGACCAGCCTAGGCTACCAAGTGAGCTCAAGGCCAGCCTGAACTGCATAGTGAGACCCTGTCTCAAAAAGACATAAAAAAAAAAAAAAAAAAAAAATCCTAAGTGAAATAGCAGGAGGTTGGATTCAACATGATACATAAAATCATTAATGTATTTATCATGTTCAAGTTTATTTTGGGGGGAACCAAATGTGGTGCTGCACCCCTGCAAACCCAGCAACTTGCAAGGCTGAGGCAGGAGGATTGTAAATTGGAGTCCAGCCTGAGCAACGTAGCGAGACTCTGCCTCAAAATAAAAATTAAAAAATAAGTAAGTAGAAAGGGCTGGGGATGTAGCTCAGGGGTCGAGTGCTCGCCTAGCTTGTGTGAGGTCCTGGGTTCAACCCCCGGGGCTATAAAACAAATGAACGAACCCGGACAATGGGGGGTCTATGAATTCCTGGGTTGAAACCCCCCTCCATTACCTGCCGAGTTTATTCACCAAGGGCCCGACCAGGAGGGACCCGAGGAAGCCCCCGAAGGGGAACATGGACACCGTCAGGGACCACAGCAGGGTGAGGGAGATGGGCTTCATGAACTCCCCGGTGCGGTTGTAGTGGGTTTCATTGTAAAACTGCTGCATGAACTGGGGACAGAGAACACAGGGCCAGAATCACCCCCTCTGGCTTTGCAGAAGGAACGAGGGAAGCCGGTGGGACACCGTGTGTGTGTGTGTGTGTGTGTGTGTGTGTGTGTGTGTGTGTGTGTTCCCGCGCACAGAGGTGGTGACATCAGGAAGCGGGATGGGGCTGGGACACCGGGTCCCGGGCAGCGCACTTGCGGTGGTACCGGGCTCTGGGCTGTGGGATGCCACTGCCCACACTGCAGTGACTGGGGCCTCCTGGAGGGCGGGAGGGCCCGGCTCCTGCGTGTCCCCCCGAAGCGGAGACTGGGGACCTGGGCGCCCCGCCCGTGCCTGTGCCCCCTGGTCTGTGCCACGCGCATCAGGGGCCCGTCCGCTCCCGAGCCAGACCTACCTGGGAGGGCGAGTTGACCGCGGACACGTTGTACCCATACTGGAAGGACGAGCCAAAGGCGGCGACCAGCGTGGCCAGGGCGAGCACGAGCGTCAGCCTCTGCGGGGGAGGGCGCAGGTCGGGGGCAGCAGGGTGCCGGCCCGGCCTCAGTTCCCCTGGAGCAGCGACGCCCTGGCCTCGGCTCTGCGGGCCCTCAGCCTGTACCGGCCCCGAACGCGCTTTACCCGCCCAGGTGATAATCGCGGCTTCTGGGCGCTTTGGGCCCTGGTAATCCTCGCGCCAGGGCCCGTCCCGTGCACGTGGGTCGTGGACAGCACCCCGGCTCTCCGCTCTTTAGATGCGGGGCACCCTCTTCCCAACTGCGATGCCCAGAGGTCTCCAGGCCCCTGGGTGGGGTGTGGAGCTGCCCCCCTGTGAGAACCACCGGGCCAGAAAGAAACCAAATCCAGCACCCCATGGAGCACGCGTTGATGGGCTCGGGCGCTGTCCAAGACAAACCCCCAAATTCAAAGGGAAAGACGGGAAACGGTCTTACTATATAATTCAGGCTGGCCTTGAACTCGCTATGTAGCCAGGCTGCCCTGGAACTCCCAGCAATCTTCCTGCCTCAGCCTCCCAAGTGCTGGGGCACCAAATTTTGGATTATCCTGCCTTGGCTGCCCAACTGCTGGGATCACAGACAAATGCCACTTGCCCTTTCTCTTCCTTCCTTCCTTCCTCCTTTCTTCCCTCCCTCGGTCTCTCCCTCCCTTCCTTCCTTTCTGCATACAAGGATTTTCTAGGCAAACATTCAAAGCACACACAAGAGGAATAGAGTGCAAGGCTGGGTGTGGTGGCACATACCTGTAACCCCAGCACTTGGGAGGCTGAGGCAGGAAGATTGCTGGGAGTTCCAGGGCAGCCTGGCTACATATGAGTTCAAGGCCAGCCTGAATTATTTCTGGCCTGGCCCCACCCTTTGCTTTCCAGGAAACCTGTGGACACCCAAGAACCCTGGTCGCCACCACTGGTGCCCAGGAGGTGCCTGGCTGCGGGAGGGAAGTGGTGGCTTTGGTTGCTGCCATCTTTCCGGGAAGGGGATTCGAAGGGGGCTTGGATCAATGGTTTCATCCTTCCTCCTTCCCTCCCTCCCCTCTTTCCAAACAAAGTGAAGCAGGAGAACTGAGTCCTCAGCACTTAAACACCATGCAGCTCACTGTGCTGAATGAGTGGATAGGTGGACGGGCGGACAGACGGATGGATGGATGGACGGATGCCCAAAGCCAGCCAGATGGGCAGTGCTGAGCCAGAGGTCCCGCGCATGTGAGTGCACGGAGGTGCCAGGACCCGACCTTCCCCGCACACTGTCACCTGCGCCTCCTGTCCCCGGCGGCCCCAGGGTGGTGTGCGGCTGGCAGGGCTTCTCCGTACCCGCCAGCCTTCCCTGCCAGAGGACCCTGCTGCATGAGCCCCGCTGTAGCTTGCGGAGAGCAGTGAGTGAGTTTCCACCGTCCTCCCATTTGGTGAAACAAGAGTGTCTCAGTCAAATGAGAAGGGTTGAGTTTTACTTGGTTTCTTTTTTTTTTTCCTTCTTTTCCTTCCCCTTCTTCCATCCCTTCCTTCTTCCTTCCCTCCCTCCCTCCCTCCCTTCCTGCCTATTTTTTATGGCATTGGCTTTGAACCCCGGCTTCCCACATACTAGGCAAATGCTCCCACGCTGAACTACATCCCGGTCCTTTGTAATGTTTAAATTTTGAGATAGGCCTATGGGCACCAAAGTTTGGATTATCCTGCCTCGGCTGCCCAGCTGCTGGGGTCACAGACAAGTGCCACTTGCCCTTTCTCTTCCTTCCTTCCTTCTTTCTTCCCTCCCTCGGTCTCTGCCTCCCTTCCTTCCTTTCTGCATACAAGGATTTTCTAGGCAGACATTCAAAGCACACACAAGAGGAATAGAGTGCAAGGCTGGGTGTGGTGGCGCATACCTGTAACCCACACACGGCAGCGCTCCTGCCTCAGCCTCCAGAGTGCTGGGATGACAGGCATGCGCCACCATGCCTGGTTTAGGATAGTTTCAATTTACAATGGATTTATCAGGGTGCAACCTTATCTTTTTTTTTTTTTGTACTGGAAATCTAACGCGGGACCTTGCGCTTGCCAGGCAGGTGCTCGTGCTGCTGAGCTATATCCCCGGCCCGCAACCTCATCCTAAACTGAGATGCCTCTGTCTGGAAGGCCTTCGCTCGCCCACGCACAGGTGTGGGCAGGCCGGAGGATCCACGCTGCACAGCAGCACATGTCAAGAGCCTGAGACGGAGTCATTAACCACGGCTGAGCACCCCAGACAGGACTGCTGGTCAGTCCAGCGCAGGGGAAACTTTGCACCCTCCCCGCACTCTCCCTCTCCCTGGGCCCTGGCAACAGCTGCTCTGTTCTGCTTCCCTGAGTTCGGCTTTTTTTAGATTCCACAAACAAGGGAAATTATGCAACACGACTGTTTTTGTTGTTGTTGAGACAGGGTCTCGGTGTGTAGCTCGGGCTGGCCTTGAACTCCCTATGGAGCCCAGGCTGCCTGGGAGCTCTCAGTGATCCTCCTGCCTCAGCCTCCCAAGTGCTGGGGTGACAGGCGTGTGCCACCACACCTGGCACTGATACTTTCTTGTGAAATCCAAACAACATAATCCCAGCGGAGGTGTTTGGTGAACTCTAAACACAGTGACTTGAAAGGCTAGGCGTTTCCTGCCCTCTAGGGGACATTAGGAGCTTGTCATATGTGGGAGAAGATGCAGGAGGGTCTTGTGGCCTGGGACTGCGGCTCCACTAAGCACCCTGTGACACAGGACAGCCCTGCCACGGGGAACTACCCCTCAGGGCCACGGTGGTCGTGCTGGAAGGCTGCAGTCACTTAGGGGAGTGTTCAGCGTGTGCTGGGCACTTTACATGCACTGTCCTCTTAGTCAGTCGTCCCAGTGCCCAGGAGGTGGAGGGTGATCAATTATTCCCATTCTACAGGCCAGACAGCCAAGGTGCGGGACAGCTAAACAACTTGCGCACGTCTCAGAGCAGAGGTGCCTGCGGGAGAGCAAACAGCAGGTGCTTCTCCCTCGGTACCCGCCCTAGGTTCCCATGATACCGAGGAGGTCTCAGCCCCCACAGCAAGCAGCTCACACCTGCGCCTGAACACAGAATCTCCTGCACAAATGTGTGCTCCAAGCAGGGCGAGGTGGTGCACGCCTGTCATCCCAGCACTTGGGAGGCTGAGGCAGGAGGGATGGCTCTGAGTTTGAGGCCAGCCGGGGCTGCATAGTGAGTTCAAGGCCAGCCTGGACTACGCAGAAAGACTCTGTCTTGAAAAACAAACAAACAAACAAAAAGAAAAAATGTGTACTCCAAGCAGATGCTATTGTGGTGAATAAAATGCAATTCTTTGAGTGTTAATTCTTTTTTTTTTTTGGGGGGGGGAGATGTTTTCTTACTGTGTCGCCAGGCTGGCCTTGAACTTGTGGTCCTCCTGCCTCAGCCTCCCTAAATGCTGGGATGGCAGTGTGCCCCACCCAGCCCTGCTGACGGGCGCCTTCAACAGCTGTTCCGGTAGAATGATTCTCAAAGACACCTGTGAGAAACCTCACCTCTGCGGCCCGGCCCAGGGGCCAGGTGGCCCGAGGGGCAGGTCCCTGGGTCCTTCCCAGCCCTGAGCAGGCTCTGCCACTCCTAGGAGGCCCCAAGGGCACTCACCCCTTTCCTCTTCTGCGGGTCCGCGGGCTGCTCCATCGTTGTCCTGCTCCTCTAAGTAGCGTCAACTGCACAGGGAGGAAGACGAGCGGTGCACTTTGGCCACCGGCGCACAGCCAATTGCATTTTTATGGCCAGTCCGAGTCTGAATAACCCCTTCCGCACCCGAGCTGCCTCAATTTCACTTCTGCTTTTAAAGGGAGCTTCCTGGGGCTGGGGACATAGCTCAGCTGCACAGCGCCTGCCTGGCAAGCACAAGGTCCTGAGTTTGATTTTCGGTACTCCCCAAAAAACAAAAACAAAAAAATGATGCGTCCTGCCTGCCTGTCTGTGGTGTGCTCTTCGCCCCCTGGTCCCACAGGGCAGGCCCCGGGCGGCGACTGCCAGGGTATTTCAGGCAGGAGCGCTCGTACAGCAGCCGCTGTCCTGACCCCACAGGACAGCAGGGACTGGGGACCTGCCAGGAGGTGCCCCTGATTCTCTTGAGTGTGGACTCAGTTTTTCCCCCTTTTTCGGTGCTGGGGATTGAACTCGGGGCCTTGAACATGCTAAGTACCTGCTCTAACACTGACCTACACCCCCAGGCCCAGGGAAGAGACCTGGGGCAGAGTTTCTTATTTTCTTTTGCAGTACTGGGGATTGAACTCAGGACCACTGCACTGAGCTACATCCCCAGCCGTATTAATTTCCTCTCTTTCTTTTTTTTTTTTTTTTTAAATTTTGAGATACGGTGTTGCTAAGTTGCTAATTGCCCTGGCTGCCCTCGAATGGGGAACCCTCCTGCCTCAGCCAGCCAGACTGCTGAGCTTACAGGTGGATGCCACTGTACCTGGCTGGCAGTTAGTACTAATTTTCTTATTAAAGCACAACATGCCCACGCTGAAGTACTGTGGAGATTACGGGGCATTTTCCTGCCTGAGGAACTCGGCGGCCTCGAGATAGATTTTCTGTGTGTGCACTGATTTGGGGAAGCGCAACTCCCGGAATCCCTTTGCGAGCAGGACAGGGAGAGCAGTCCCCGTGGGGGACGCGTGCTCGGCTGCCCTGAGCCACCACAGCCAAGTGGCCGCATGCGGAGCAAAGTCCCCTTGCCCTGGCTTCTGTCTTTAAGGTGCCCCGCCGGCGTGAATCGCCCTGGCGCAGGCCAGCGCCTGAGTCCTTTCCGCCCGCCCACCCGGCAGAGCGGCTGCCGGCTGGGGACGGGGACTGTGAGGACGCAGCGCGCGGCGACTGTCCCTGCTCCTGGAGGCCTGGGCGTCCATCCACCAGCGTCACTCACTGCCTGTCTTCTCCTGTCCTGGCCCTAACGTGAGGGTCTCCGGCTAAGGAGCCGCAAGACTAGAGGCTGCAGATGAGTTCACAGCATCGGGGAAATTCTCCGAAGGGAAATCACCGTCACGGGGGCGGGGCCGCCGACTGGGGGTGAGAGGAAGGAAAGGCGCCAGTTTCAACAAAGAGCTGTCAGAGCCTGACCTGCGGGCGCGTCTGTAATCCCAGCACTCTGCGAGGCTGAAGCAGGAGGATCAGGATCGCAAGTTTGAGCCCAGCGTGGGCAACTCAGGAACTTAGGGAAACGTCGTCTGGAAATTAAAACAGAAAAAAGAAGTCCGAGGTTGGCTTCTTGGCTCACGTCTCGCGCTTCCTGCGCCCCGCGTCGTGAGCTGAGCCCCCGCCCCCCGGCCCTGCCTCGACTTCCCCAGCTGGGACCTGGGACGCGGAGGACTAGGGTCCCGTCTCAGGCGCGCAGCAGTACCTGCTTCCTGCTGTCCCGGGACCGCGGGCACTAACGCCACCAACGCCCAGGAGCGCGCGCGGGGGGCAGGGCGGGGGCGGGGCGGGCTGTGCCGGTTGCTGCGGGGTCCCCTCTGCCGGGCTGCGTCCCAACTGGGTTCCAGGAGGGGCGGCGAGGACCTTTCGTTCCTGATTCCGGGTCGGGCCGTGACCCTCGGGTTTCCCAGAGTCCTTGACCCTCCCGGCTCGGCCCTGCCGCGGGACAATGATGTCCACTCTGACCCCTGCAGCCTCTTCTCGCTTTGGGATTTAAAAGGACACTAACGCTGGGATTTTAGTCCCAGCATGTGGGAGGCTGAAGCAGGAGGATCGCTGCGAGTTCGAGGCCAGCCTGAATTACACAGCGAGAAAAAAAAGAAAAAAAAAAGAAAAGAAAAAGATAAAAGATAAAGGGACAATCATGATGCTATCAGTGGCTGGGGATATAGCTCAATGGCTTAAGTGCCTGCCTGGCAAGCCTGAGGTCATGAGTTCGATTCCTGGTACCAAAACCAAAAAAAAAAAATAACCTGGAATCTGGACATGATGCTATCAGTGATCAACCCAGGAGTGTTTGGCTAACTGTAGGTTGCAGACTGAGGGGTGTGGAAAGAACACAGTAAAGTTTCCAAGAAAACCGCCTTGGTAAGCACCTTGACTTGTGCTTAAATCCACGTCTGAGGGCCAGGGAGGCAGCTCACCGGCACACACCTCCCTGGCAAGTTCGAGGCCCTGAGTTCGATTCTTGGTATCGGGAAAAAAAAAGGTATAAAACCACCTCTGATAAGAGCCTATGGGTGGGTCTAAGAAGAAAGAGGTTCTTTTCAGGCCTACCTGGGTGCCGCTTCCCGACCCTGCTCCACCCCGCTGCCTGGAGTGTGGGGCCGCCAGCCTGAGCCCCACAGGACGGGGCGCGGGGACAGGAGGAGCAGCGCCCGGTCCCCCACAGCCCCCCCGCCCATCTCCTGCCTGACTTGGAGGAGAGTGAGTTCTCCTCCACCTGGCTTTTATTCTTCCTCCTCCTCTTCCTCCTCCTCTTCCTCCTCCTCTTCCTCCTCCTCCTGCTCCTTCTTTCTCTTCTTGTGATACTGGGGATGGAACCGGGGCCTTCACGGTGAGCTACAGCCTCAGCTCCCTCTCTCCCTCTTTCCTTGTGAAAGGTTCTTGCTAAGTTGCCCAGGCTGGGCTTGAATTTGTAATCCTCCTGCCTCAGCCTCCATTAACATGCAAATGGAAAGTCTGTGGGGACAGGAAACGGGGTGCCAACAGCAAAGTTTCCCGTTGTATAAATGGGGCCACTTGCTCTGCTGGGTGCTGGGCATCGCCCGTGTGTGGCAAGGTTGCTGGTGTGCAGCTGGCGTGGGGCGGCTGTGGGCATGTGTGTGTGTCCATGTGCTCGCCTGCACGGGCTCCTGGCCCTGTGGGGGGCTCGAGGAAGCGGGGAGCACAGACGAGGCCCCGGGAGATGACCTGACACAGGCCGGCGGGGAGCAGACGACACAGGCTCGCTTGGTGATGCGGTCTGAGTCAGACTGTCTGGTCTTGGGGCTGGGGACTGAGCCCGAGGCCGGCACACGCGAAGCACAGCTCTGCCTTGAGGGGCACCCAGGCCCTGTCCTGCAGATCCGGTGACACAGCTACACCCTGAAAGCCAACTGCCCTGGGAGCCTTGCTTGAGACTTGGGGTACCAGCTCTGTGCTGCCCATGCAGCTGCCTGTGGGGTTTTACTCGGGCTTCAGTTTTGATGTTTGGTTTTTGAAATTTTTTCTCTTGTTTTCTTTTTTGAGGTAGCATCTTGCTATAGTCCAGGTTGGCCTTGAATTTGTGGAGATCCTCCTGCCTCAGCCTCCTTAGCACTGGTGTGCACCACCACACCTCAGCAGATTTTATCAGAGCTGCAGTTGGTTTCATTTGCGTTCAGATTACAAAGCCGCCTAAGATCCACCAATCCTTCTCCTGAAGCTGGTCTTTCTCTGTGCCACATGGCAGGAGACGAGTTCCTTTAGGAGGTGTGTTTTCCAGGAGAGCAGAAAGCCCTGCATGTGCCCGGCGGCTATGGCAGTGGCTGGCTCAGCTGGCAGGAAGGGCAGGGGGCAGGATGCCGCAGGGCCACTTCCATTCTGGATTCGATAAGGGCCGTCATTAACAGCGTCATGGACAGGGCGCCGCCTCTGCCTGCTTGGCACTCCTCACTGGGGAGTGGGGAGGGGAGGCAGACACAGCCCTCTGGAAGCCCGATGCCCACTGAGGGTGCCCCCTCTGCCCGTGCCCACCCACACCCGCCAGGTGCCACCTGCCCCAGAGCTGCTGCAGGTGCACGGGCGGCTGCGTCTACGCTCGCTTTCAATCCCATTCTGGGCCCTGGCGCCTCGGGGCTCTTTTTTTTTTGGTACCAGGAATCAAACTCAGGACCTTGCACTTGCCAGGCAGGCACTTGTGCTGCTGAGCTGTATCCCCGGCCCGCCTCGGGGCTCTTGTCCACGCTTCTGCCGAGTGTGCCCGAGGCGGGGAGGCCCTGGCCTCGCTGGGACACACCTGGCGTGTGACCTCCAGAGACCCGAGCTCGTCATCTTGTTTTCCCTTCCCAAGAGCAGAATTTGACCCTGCCTATCAGTGAGTCCAAGGGCATGGGGAGGAGACAAGAGTTCCTGGGGACCCACGGACCAAAAGCGTGGCCGTCGGGCGCAGGAAGTCTCCTCTGTACCCCGCTGGCTTCTGCTGATTATGCCTTACCCTGGGTAGGACCTCTGTCTCGGTTTGGTTTGTTTCAGCAGGGCTGTGGATTGAACCCTGGGCCTTTGCACTGAGCTGCGTCCCCAACACTTTCTTATATTTTATTTGGAGACAGGATCTTGCTAAGTCACTAAATTGCACCATGCTGGAATTTAAGATCCTCCTGCCTCAGCCTCCCAGAGCATGGGAATTATAGTCATGTGTCGCCACGCTCAGCTCACTTGTTTGTTTTCAAACTTCATTACTTTCAAAATTGTGGTCATAGAACACATGCTGTAAAACTTACACCACCAGGGACATGTTAGCGTGCACGGCTCGGGCTGGGCGGAGCTCCGTGGTAGCGCTTGCCTGGAAAGCCCGAGGCCCTTGGGTCTACCCTGGCAGGTGGCGGGGCGTTGGGGTGCGGACTCTGGCCCCACTCCAGCTGCTGAGTCTGCACGTCAGCCCGTGCCCGAGGTTCCACTGACGCTGTGGCTTGGGACACATCACTTGCCCTGGCAGACGCTGCTGGGCAGCTGCATGCACCGCGGGCAGGCTCGGCCCAGGGCTTTGCTGGGTGCTCTGGGCACCAGTAGGGCAAGAGCAGCTTTGCACCCTTGCGGACAGGGAGACGCTCTGGAATCTACCCTTGCAGGCCTGGCTGAGAAACCCAGCGGCCGCATCACTCGCGTCACCAGGCCCGTTCAGATCAGACTGCCAGGCACTGTGAGCGTGGTGCCTGGAGTCCCCTGCCTCAGGCGTCCGATCCAGGAGGACGGCTGGAGCCCAGGAGTTTGGGACCAGCCTGGGCGACACAGTGAGACCCTGTCTCTCAAAAAATAAAAACTAGATCGAGCCTATTGTGGTGGTGCATGCCTGTAATCCCAGCACTCAGGAGGCAGAGGCACGCGGATTGTGAGTTCAAGGCCGGCCTGGGCTACCTATCAGGACTTCCCTCCAAAAATCCAACATTTGAGCAAACAGACTCATAGGCTGGGGTGTAGCTCGGTGGTGGAGGACTCTCTTAGCTCGTCCCATTCCCAATACCATGAAAATAAAGATTTAAGAAATGAAGAAGGGCTGAAGAACGTATTCCTAATAGATATTTTCCAAACATAATTTTTACAAGCTAATTTCTGCCGCTGACGATCCCCCTGCTATCCCTGGCCGCCCTCCAGACCGACCACAAGCCTCCCCTGGGCTCAAGCGCCGGATCCTGCGGGTGATGGTGACTCGCCTGCCCCCTCCCTGAAGGTGTACACGCGGGCATCACTTCTCCGTCAGTCCGGTGCCCACTGAGTCCCCTCTGCTCCCTGCCCGGATGCAGGGCCTGATGAGCCCAGGACTCCAGTGTCCGCCAGGGGCAAGAAAAACAACAGACAGCGCCGGAGGGAGGGAGGGAGGGAGGGTTGGCTTCCCTCCTGGGACCCCGGGAGCAGTGGCCGCGAAGTTGTGTGGAGACTAAGTCTTCCTTCCCAGGGATGTGGTTGACCTCAGAGGCTGTGCCCGGGAACCCTGAATCAGGGTGAGGCTCTCTGTGGGGGTGAGCGGGAGCAGGAGCTCCAGATTCCCTCCAATGACCGGAGACAAAGGACGTCCCGGGTCAAGGCAGCGTGTGAAGCTTGGTCTCATGCAGGCTCGTTAGTGAGCCGGTGCAGGGGACACGGAGGCTGAGAGGGCCACAGGACTGGCCCAGCGGCCTGGGTCACAGATGCCAGGGCCCTGCTGGAGTCCCAGGCCACAAACCAGGTCGCTCTCTCCTCCGGGAATTACATCGGTCCCTTGCCAGCCTGTCCACCGTGACCTGCTGCCCCCTGCCTCGCTCCCGTTCTCTCAGGGGACAGGCAAGGCCTCCGCCACGGAGCTACACTGCCAGCCCCTAAACCACACACTGGCATCTTAAAAAATACGGGTAGGGCTGGGGCGATGTTCAGTGGTGGAACATGGAGAAAAGCCCTGGGTTAGATGCCCAGCCCTGAATGAATGAAAGACTATCCTATTGCCTCCCTTCCCACTCTGAGAGCCCGCTGAGGCCCCCTTGTGGTCACGCTGTCTCTCACACTGCTGAGCCGCACCGGCCTTGGTCCTCTCCCCTGCAGGGCCGCCTGGCTCCACGGCCCCGGGGCTGTGCTGTCACAGGGTCTCTGGCCTCGGATACAGCCAGGGCTCAGAAAGGGGCAAACTCACAATGGATTTGTAAACCCAGCTCTCAAGAGGCTGAGGCAGGGTGATCACAAGTCCAAGTCCAGCCTGGGCAATTTATGAACACCCTGTCTCAAAGTAACAAGCAAAGATCTGGGGCTGTAGCTCCGGCGGAGGCCCTGGGGCGATCTCCGGGACTGCGGAAAGAGAGCTGCCACTGCCGGGAGCTGGCAACTTTCACGTGAGGAAACCCAGACAGCACAGCAGCAAGCACAGCGGCACAGCTCGGGCCTGTGGGGCCAAAGTTCCAGAGGGAGGGGTTTAATAAAAGTGCTCCTGAGGCAGGGCCAGCCTGGGCGGGCTGTGGGGGGAGGCGAGGTGGCCGTGCTGTCCCCGGGCTAGGAGCTGCTCCTTTCGGTGAGAACCTCGGTGCCAACGACCCCGCACGTGCACAGGTCGCCGTGGGCAGGACAGGTGAGCCACAGGGGGCAGGGGGCAGCGGGGCCCTGGAGCCCTCCGTCCTGCAAGTCAGCACCAGGCCTGGGCGCTCTGGACTTGGCCCGCTGGTCCTGCTGCTGCTCAGGGCCTGGGAATCTGTATTCTTGTCCCCCTCAGGCAAACTCAGGAGGGCAGACACCCTCAGCCCTTTTGGATTTTGAACCAGGTCTCACTGCATCACTAAATTGCTCCACCTGGGTTTGAACCTATGATCCTCCTGCCTCAGCCTCCCGGAGTGCTGGGAAGACAGACATGCGCCACCCCACCAGGCCTCATGACTACCTCTGTCAACAGGGAGGGGTGGAGATGTCTCTCCAGGTCTCAGCCATATCGGAGGCTGCTGTGTCCCCTCTGTCACCTCACCCCCCCCCCCCGGGTAATCAGTTCACTAAACACACAGAAGAAAAATAATTCATTTATTTAAGTTAAAATAACAAGGCTTTGGCCTCCACCCAGACAGGCAGGCTTTTCACAATTCTGCGAGCGCAAAAACTCACACTATGTCACAGCACAACTGAAGTTTGTAAAAACAAATTTTCTTGCTGTGGACATAGGGAGACTTCTGTCAGCGTGCTCAGCCTGTGCCCACAGAATAACCTTTATTAAAGAAAAAGACTGAACACACGCACGTGCACACGCACGCACGCACGCACGCACACAGAGGCTGGAAGTGGCTGGGAAACCAGATTACACGATCAAAATCCAGAAAGTGCATCAGAAGAGCGCGGCCAGGAACCCATGCAGCCATCGCGCCTGTTAAGGCTGAGGTCACGCCTGGGTGACCCAGGGACAAGCGGATAAAACATTAATGGTGCTGACAGAGGGGAAGGAAGCTCACGGGCTGGGGAGTGGGGAGTGCGGCGGCCCCTTGGCACTGGCTTAAATTTAAAACAAGAGCGCCACTGTGCAATCAACTCCTGTTTTGCTTTCAAAAACAATTTTTTTTTTGTCTTTTTGAGACCGTCTTGCTGTGCAGTTCAGGCTGGCCTTGAACTTGCAAAGATCCTCCTGTTTCAGCCTCCTGAGTGCTGGGATGACAGGTATGTGCCACCAGGCCCAGCTCAGAAACAAAATTTGTATCAGGAAAGGAGTCATCATTCACAGGACTAAAATTTAAGGCCAAAATTTGTGGCTGACTTCTGTCCCAGTCCTCCATTTTTTTTTTTTTTTTTTTTGAGACAGAGTCTCCCTATGTAGCACAGGCTGGCCATAAACTTGTGGCAACCCTCTTGCCTCAGCCTCCCAAGTCTGGGACTAGAGGCGTGCACCGCTTCACCCGGCTCATCCTCGAGTCCAAACCAGAGTCTCCACCCGGCCACACTGGCCTGGTCACTGGCTGAGATGCAGTGTATGCAGTGGGAGGGTGAGGTCCGGTTGGAGAAAGGAAGGTGACACCGGAGGTGTGATTCGGAGCAGGCAGACAGCCCAGCCCTGGTGTCAGCCAAATGCCCTGGGAGCGTGAGCCCAGCAGAGGCGGCAGCTGTTTCCTGGGCCCTGACTCCCCCTGTGGGCCTCTCCGGGCACAGCAGGCTGTCAGTCTCTGCTTCAGGCCTGGCCACAGGGCTGTGCTGTTGGATTGGGGGGGGAGGGTCAGGGGTCAGGGGTCAAGGGGTCAAGATCAGGCCCCTGTCCCCCACCCCCACCCCCGCAGCAGTCTGCTGCAGCCGGTTCCTTGTGGCTGGTACTCTGACTCACAGTGAATCATCTCCTCCTTTCCCCAAAGCAAATTCTTGCTCTGCTCTAGACCCTAAAAGGCCTTTAGCAGCTCTGCGCCCGGATATTTGCTGTGACCAGGAACCCGATGGCGGCTGCCCATGGCCAGGGCCGGTTCCTTGGGCCAGCCCGGGGCGTCCGCAGAGCTCTCAGGGACGCCGCCCACCCTGATCTTCAGAAGCTCACCTTCTGGGGATGGCAGGAAGAGGCACCTGGGACTCGGTCCTGTGAGTGGCGACCTCTCCCCACACAGATTTTGTTTCTGGGAGCAAAACAGGAACGGATCGCACACCGGGGTTTTTGTTTCAAACCGAAGCCAGCGCCAGTCACTCTGGTTTTGGAGCCCAGGGGACTTGCCCCTGGGAGAAGATGCCACTTCCTGGAGAGCCCAGGTGACATTTATGCTTCCGAGTAACAGAGTCTGTTTTCTGAAATGGGAGGGGAGGGTTGGTGGGGGAAGCTTTAGGACAGAAACAGAGAGACAGATGCTTTTTAAACATTCTTCTAGGGCTGGGGGTGTGGCTCAGCCGCGGAGGACAGCCCAAAAGCACCAGGCCTTGGGTCCTGTCCCCAGCACCGAAAAATAAAGACTAACCGTTTTCTATCTCTTTTCTTTTAAATGTAAACATTCACTTCGGGATCCGGGTTGCCGCCTTCCCCCCAGCACCACCAGAAAGGCTTTCTTATTTGGTGCTGGGCGGGTGGAGCCAGGACTGAGCAGGCCTCCACCCCGCCTCCACCCCAGCCCAAGGCCAAGTCGGAACCTCAGGGATTCGGTGTTTGGATCCTTCAGCAACTCCCTGGCGGATCCTCTTCCTACAGAAAACTCAAGCAGCAAGCAGGGAAGCTGCATGCCCGCCCCACCCACCTCTTCTGGTCATGCTAAAATGAGGGGATCGCCTGGAACACCTGTTCTCGGGGAGTCCCTGAGAGGCCGCCTGGCCCGGAGGCAGGGACCCGCATTTTATGGGACGGGCAGAGGTAGGACTGTGGGTTCTGAAATGCAACCTTGAGGCTGGTAACCCACAGCCGGCATCCGGGCACCCAGAACGCTGGCCCTGGGCCTGTGTTGGGCTGCGCTACTTGGCTACCACACGCAGCCGCAGGGGACAGAACACGCAGCCTGGTCAGAAGGAACTGGCCCTCTGCCGACCAGCACCGCTGGCCAACGAGGCCGGCCTCCCAGGGCCTCTACATCCTGGCAACCAGGAATCTGCGCCATCCCGGACCCCTGAGAGTCAGTCACCGGGGGCACAGGTGTGGGTCTCGCAAATTGTAAACAGTGCATCGTTGCCTGGGGGCGCTGCCGGCCCGGAGGAGAGGCCGCTGGTGGGACCCTGTGACCCCAGCTTCCCTGAGTCTCCTGCTGGCCTCGGGCGGATGAACCCCAAGCGAGCTGAGGGTGTCGGAGGTAGAAGAGGCTGAGTCAGCGCTGCTTCCTCACGGGTGGACAGCGTCACTGTGGGAGCCCCGAGAGTCTCCCAGCTTGGAGGACGTGGGTGCCTTGGGAGGGCCGGCCGGGCTCGGGGCGGAGGGCTGGGGACAACAGCGACACAGGGCGAAGAGCCGCTTGCGGATGGCGCGGGTGCCGAGGACGAACATGATGCAGTTGGCTCCTCCCTGGAAGGTGTTCCCGATGCCCTGTGGGGAAAGAGAGGGGTGAGGCGGGCCGGACGGGGACCGCTTGGACCTGGTCCCGGCCCTCTGTACGGGGAGGGATCCAGGATCAGCCGACACTGCTGGATGCCCCCAGCCGATCTGAGGTGCAGCGGAGCCGCTCCTGGCCCCGCGCCGGGACCCATGGGGACACGCCCACCCTCGGGACGGGCGGACCTACGTGCAGGAGGACCAGCACCGGGTTTTGCACCAGCGGGGAGCCGCACAGGGTGAGCACGAAGCGCACGGTGCTCCAGACGCGCAGGCAGATGAAGATGAGCGGGATGAGCACCAGCTTCTTGTCGGCCACCGCGGCGGAGGCGCAGGGCTGCGGCTGGCGCGCCTCGCAGATGGGTCGGTACTCGGAAAGCGCTTGGTGCTGCGGGCGGAGGGACAGCGCGGCCTGAGCTGGGGCCTCGGGCCGCGTCCACCCACCGCGCCTGCGTCCACACAGGGACCCACAGGGGGCACCACGCCCTCCTCCAACTCACGCTGCCCGCCCCACCTCCCCGGGGGCCCTGGACACCTGGGGCTGCTGTGTCCAGGACAGAACACCCGGTCTTCACCTCCACCCCCCTCACGTCCCGGCTACATAGCAAGACCCTGCCCCCACCAAAGGTAAAGCAGCGCCTAGCAAAGATGGATGTTTGAGCTTTTTCCCCATCAGGACCTGAAGACCCAGCCAGAGTACCCGCCTCTACCTCCTCCGGGGTCCCGGGCAGTGAGCTGGAGTTAAGGTTGCTCTGGGGTCTATGTTTCCCTCCCGTCTCTTCCTTCCTTGAGACAGGGTCTCACTATGTACTTCAGGCTGGCCTTGAACTCATTACGGAGCCCAGGCAGGCCTTGAATGTATGGCAATCCTCCTGCCTCAGCCTCCCAACTGCTGGGATTACAGGTGTGTGCCATCACACCCGACCTACCATTTATCCTTAGCTCTCCTCCTAGCTCCAGGCTGGGAACAACTGCACATTCCCACACCCCTGCTCACTTTATTCCTTTATTTCTGCAAACACCCTCCAAGTTGTGCAAAGGGACCCCAGAGGGAGCAGGTGTTGTGGGGGGAAGATCGGCTATAGTTCTGAGTCAAAAGCAGAGGCCAGGCATAGTGGTGCATGCCTGTGATCCAGGACTTGGGAGGCTGAAGCAGGAGGATCGCTGTGAGTTCAAAGTCAGCCTGACTTACGTAGAGTTTAAGGCCGACCTGGACTACAGACCCTGTCTTACAAGAGAAAGAAAAAAAAAAAAAAAAAAAAAAAAAGCAAGCACCAGAGCACTAGAAGTCTTGGTAAGATATAGATGGAGGTATGGTGCAGGGACCAGGTGCCCTAAGGTCAGGGAGAGCTGTGAGGAGGGTCCTTGTTCCATGCAGAGGAGGGCAGAGGGTGTGGCTCAGGGACAGAGCCCTGAAGGGACCCTGAGGCCCTGGGTCCCACCCCCAGCGCTGCAACCCAAAACCCAAAACCCCAAACCCCAGGGTGACCTAAAGACAGGACGCCCCCTTCCATGGCTCCAGCCTTGAAACTCGGAGACGGGGCTGGGAGGAAACCCTGGGGACCCCTCCGTCCGCCCGTGGCTCTGGTCCTTTGCCATAATTACACCTAGGCCTCTAAGGGGTGCGCAGATCCGGGCCTGAATCCTTGCTGTGAACCCCGCCTGGGATTCCTGCAAAGCCCAACCCTAAGGCAAAGGGGAACTGGAATTCTCTGCACACTGCCTGGGAGACCCCGTATCCCTTCCGGGGCCCCTCCCGGCCAGGGGATGACTGGGTGCCTCCTGGATTTCTTTTGCATTCCTCAGGGCGAGCAACACCGCGGCCCGTCCACAGGGGGGGCAGTAGAGGACAGGGCGGGGAACCGAGCGCAGCCTATGGGCAGCCTCTCCCGCTACCAAAGGGGGCCACACAGTAGGACTCGGCCCAGGCGCCCGTCGGCGATTCGCCGCGCAGCGCAGGCTGCAGGCAGAGCGCCTGGGCCCCGCCGCACCCCTGCGCCCCAGGCGGCGCCTACCGCTCTGTTGATGTGCTTCCGGACCAGCAGGTAGAGCACGGGCAGCGTGACGTAGGCCAGCATCTCCCACAGCTTCCCGGTCAGCAGCAGCCACAGCAGGCGGTCCTCCGCCTCCAGGTCGACCCAGCACCAGCCCACCGACACGTCGGAGGCGTCGTAGCCGATCTTGTTGAGGGCGACAGCCGCCACGGTGATGGCCAGCGGGACGCCCCAGCTGAGGAGAGACGGGAAGAGGGACGCACTGAGGCCGGGCCTCTGGTCCCGGCAGCGTCGGCAGGGGCCACAACACGTGGATAGTGTCCTTGGGAAATGACCTGGGGACCCAAGGGTGGTGGCACAGGCCTTTAATCGCAGCACTCTGGGAGGCTGAGGCAGGAGGACTGCAAGTTTGGGCCCAGTCCTGGCAATTTAGTGCCTTTAAAAAGCCAGAGAGGTAGGTCAGTGCTAAAGTCTAGGTTCACTTCCCAGTACTGTAAATAGAACACAAGCCCACACCAAACCAAGCCAAGCAAGCTAGAGTTAGGATTCTGCGGGGCCTGGTGGCCACAACTGTAATCCCAGACTCAGGAGGCTGAGACAGGAGGACACACTGGCAGGAGGCCAGCCTGAGCAACTTAGCCAGACCCTGTCTTTAAATTAAATATAAAAGGGCGGGGGGCGTTGCTCAGCGGCAGGGCACTTGCCTACCATGTGCAAGGCCGTGGCCTCCATCCCCAGCACCAGGGAAAAGGAAACAAGAGCGGAGACCTTGGTGCAGCAGCCCGGGTCTGGCCAGGACTCCGCTCCCGCTGGGGCAGGTTATTTGGCCCCGACAAGTGGTGCCGTCCCCAAGGCTCGAGGGCGAACCAGGGCTGCGTGAGGACAGATAAGCACCCGCTGCTGGAGCCACTGCCCCAGGATGGCAGCCAGGGGTCTGTCACCACCCAGGGTCCCAGCGGTGTAGACCCTGCTGCCGGGGGGTTTCCATCCCTGCAGAGAGGATGGGCACAGAGCACCGAGTCAGTGGCCGGCGGGGGCAGGGAAGCAGCATGTGCCGGGCACGACACTGTCACGGTCACAGCACGCAGCTGGCTGCACTGTGGAGCTGCGCATCAGGAATCGGGGCTCCGTCCGGAAGGAGACTGCAGTCAGCGTGAGTCGGGGCCCGTGTGGCTCCGTCACTGCGACCCGGCTGAGAGGAGGCCTGCTGGGACCATGGCGGGGGTGTCCTCAGCCTGGATGTCCCGGCAGCTGTCCCCTCCCTGTCTCTGGCCTCTGCAGCGTGGGGCACAGGGCAGGTGGCCCTGGCGATGGGCAGCAGCGCATCCCCTTAGGCGTCGCGGAGCACCAGAGCAGGAGGTTAAAGGGTGAGGAGAGGGCGCCAGCTTCTCCAGGAGCGCGCTTTCCTTCCTCCTCTCCTCCTGCCCTTGGGACTGGGGCTGGAAGCCAGGGCCTTTGCACCCAGCTGCCCTTTCCATTTTTATTTTCCCAGCCCTTTTTTTTCTTTTGTCTTTTTGAGGCAGGGTCTTGCTCGGCAGTTCAGGCTGGCCTTGAGCTCATTTGTAGCCCAGGCTGGCCTCGAACTCACAATGATCCTCCTGCCTCAGCCTCCTGAATGCTGGGATTACAGGCATGTGCCACCACGCCCAGCTCTTTTCCATTTTTTTATTTTGAGACAGGGTCTCGATAAGTTGCTAAGTTGCCCAGGCTGGCCTCACACTTGTGAATTCCTGCCTCAGCCTCCCAGAGTGTTGGGATTACAGGCGTGCATCACTGTGTGTGTGTGTGTGTAGGGGTTTGAACACTCCCTCTGGCTTGACTTGCTGTGGTTACTCACTTTCATTACACGCCTCTGCTGCCACACTTGACAGGGACACCGGCTCTGCACTTGGGCCCGTGCAGGTAACCCAGGGTGACCTTTGACGCTGCAAGGCTGATACCTCTCCCTGGAGCAGCAAACACCGCCCACAGGCCCAAGTCCCCAGAGGAGCCGGGGCTATGCTTGGCTGTGCACAAGCAGGGCGCTGCCAGCCACACCCCAGGCGCCGCCCCAGGCTTGGGAGGCAGATTTGAGGCTCGGGCTGTGCTCTGCAGGTGTGGCCGCCACACGACCAATCTCAATCTCGGTTTCTCCTCCTCTTGCACAATTTGTCCCTGCTGTGATGCAGCGATTAGCAGCTGACCGGCCTCTCTCAGGAACCCACACAAGTCTGCTCCTCAGGTGAGTTAATACGAATCAGTGCTGATGCATTTTATTACAAGAAAGTGTTCTCATTTTATTCACTTTCGGTTTTTCGAGACAGGGTCTCACTATGTAGTTCAAGCTGGTCTTGAGCTTACTATAGGCCCAGGCTGGCCTGAAACTACAGGCAACCTTCCTGCCTCAGCCTCTACCATGCCCACTGTATCATTTTAAAATTCATTCCGTTCCAGGATCTTAGGACAGTGTAAATCACGGCTCTTGAAAGAGCCGGGCGGGCTCACGGATCTGGTCTGCAGTGTCTGGAACAGTTCAGGGTGCGCAGGGGGCCCCGTGAGTGGATGAGTGAAGCTGGAGCGAGGAGCCGGGACAGATTCCCCAGCTGCTCCAGTTTCGTGGAGGAAAGTTTCCCTTGGACAGGGAGGAGGCCGTTTCAAGATGACCGGGGTGGCACGCAGGGCTGTAAATCGGGGTGACGCTTCGCTGGCTCACCTCCTGCTGTGTGGCAGGGCTCCTAACAGTCACCAAGGGGTCCCTGTCAAGGCCTGGGCACTGGGGACCCCTGGCCATGGGGCCCCTCTAGGATACCGTGGGGAGGACAGCACGGCGTGAGGGGCGGCGGCCATGCCGTAGGGGGATCCTGCGGGTGGCGGCGGGGCTGTGACATCCAGTCCGCTGCTGTGGCCGCGGCATCTGGTGGCAGCCGTGAGTAGCACTCCCTTTGCTTCCCCTCCATCCTGAGAGGCCTGACGGGATGCCGGGGCCACAGCCACTGACCCTGGGCGTCGCAGTCCCAAGGCGACAGAGTGGCCATTTCCTGTGAAGCGCTGGGCGTGCTGCGCGGAGATGTGCTGGGGAGGACTGCGAGGACAGGGTGTCTCACAGAGCTGACCCGGGGCGAGGCAGGCAACGGAGCTGTGAGGGCCACCCCGGCCCCCCTCTGGTCCCTCCCCCTGGGGACCAGAAGCTGCTGGACAGGAGAGCGGAGGCAGCAGTGGAGCGGAGGAGGAAGGTTCCGCAACCTTGCAGAGCAGGCTGGACCAGAGCCAGCGGCTCGTGCACACAGACAGGGATGACTGGTCATGTTTCACACCTGGCTCATCAGAAACAATGAGATGGATGTGTGCGTTCATGCGTGGACACGCACTATAAATTTTTTAAAGCTTGCATTCATTCATTTACTTATTTTAGACAGAGTCTCACTATGCAGCCCAGGCCTCAAACTCCTGGTGATCCTCCTGCCTCAGCCTCCCTAGTGAGTGCTGGGATTACAGGCATCCACCACTGGTCCGTCCAAAGCCTGTGTTTTATTTGTTTTTTTTGTTTGTTTTTCTTCTGGTACCAGGAATAGAACTCATGACCTTGCACTTGCCAGGCAGGTGCTTTGCCGCTGAACTAAATCCCCAGCCCCCAAAGCCTGTGTTTTAAGTATAGTTTTCTTGCCACCCCACTGCCCATCATTTACTGAGGGCCAGGGCCGCGTCCCAGTGGAGCTGGGTGGTGTCCACCAGGCATGTGAAATCTTTGAGGTAGAGAGCAGCATTTGCTCCGACAGAGGTCCCCTGATCTTCCACTGATCTCTGCTTCTCAGCCCGGCTCGAGCGACAGGCCACGTCCCCTCAGCCAGCTCCCCCGTGACAATCGTGCACAGCCAGTGTCTGGCCAGCGGCCCCTGAGGTGGGGAAACCGCGACCACTCTACAGCTCTCCCACCTCACGGGAGGAGCCCGGAGCACACAGAGAATGGAAACGACCAGCATGAGTATCTGCTGCTCTGTGCTAAGGATTTCATTTCCAGGGAAGGTGAGGTCTAACTGCTGGCTCGAAAAACCCTCTAACTCGGAGCGACTGGGTCTTCCGAACCTGCTCCGGGATGCACCAGGCAGAGAAAGGGAAGAGCTGAGTGTCTGGGTCTCAGGCTGCAGCTAGGGGAAAGCGGGCGTCCTGGGAGCCCTGAGGGAGCCGAGGAGGTGCGCTGGAAAGACTTGCGCAGCTCAATTCCTGCTTCTAGAGCTGGACACTTCTGGTTCTGACGGGTGCCAGTAGCCCCCAGGGCACGTGTCCATGTGGAAAAGGCCAGGCAGTTACTTGATCAGAGGTCAGGAGCTGCTGTGTCCGAGGGGGTCCCTGGTGCCCGGATGCGGGCAGTTCTGGTTCAGACAGCGGCCTCCATGGCAGACACAGTCCGCACTAAGACAAGTCTCCAGCTGTCCTTAAATGTCCAAAGGCCTTGAAATCCGCCTTGCAGCGGGGTAAGGGGCAGCAGGAGGGCGGGTCCTGGCCCTTCCTAGAACTCTCCTTTCAAGGAGCCTTGCAGGGGACAGGGCCAAAGCGGGTGGCTGAGGAGGTCCTCAAACCTATGATGCTGAGGCCACCGGGGCACCAGGGCCAGGGGACCGAGCTGGAGGGTGCCTGGAGCCCCACAGCTGAGCAGGTCCCCCCACCCCCTGCTTCTCCCCAGGCCCTGGCTGGAGCCCTCTCAGAGCCATGTGTCCCTCAAGATTCGTCTGGTGAAACCCCAACCCCCAGAACCTGAGACTGTGACTGTATTTGGAGACAGACTTCCGAGAGGTAATTGAATTAAATAAAAATGAGGTCATAGGCCAGGTGTGGTGGTGCACACCTGTAATCCCAGCACTCGGGAGGCTGAGGCAGGAGGATTACCATGAGTTCAAAGCCAGCCTGGCTCCATAGTGAGACTCTGTCTCAAAAAAACCAAAAAATAAGATGGGTCCACTAATGTGAGCCCTAATCCAGTAGGTCTTTCGTCCTCACAGGGACAGTGGAAGACACAGACCCCAAGAGAGGGACGAGCCTGTGACAACAGGGGGAGAAGAGGCCAGGTACAAGCCCAGGGGCCCCTAGGAAACAGCCCTGCTGCACCCGGACCTTGCACTTCTGCCTCCTGCTGCGGCCTGGGGGTTCTTCCCGAATCCTGCTCCTCCAGACTGGGCTCTGGCAGGGGCTGCGTCAAGACTCCTAGGAGCCCGGTTCTGGTTCTGGTTCTGGTTTAGAGGGGAAGGGCTGATTGGGGGC